AGGAAAACGTTCCCACGGTACTTCACTACCCGTACGATGACATGGGCGGAGCGCCAACAGTGCAGGCACTCGCTCGATTCTTGCACGAATTCTATTTCCCTAGGTTAGCATGGGTGACAGTCGGCGGAACCACTCGCTTGGTGGAATTATTTGTCGAGAACGGCAATCCACGCTTTGGTCTTCTGTTGGGCCGTCGTCTTGATTTAGACAAGCATAAGGGTCGAAAATGTGAAGCTCGTTGGGGTAGTCCTTACAAAATCAGACGCGTCCTACATAACCACACAAGGGATGTGATTCGCGACATGGCCCCGGAAGCAACTTTACGGTTGTTCGGCCAGGAGCGGCACGCCCTGGCCCTGGCCCAATGCTTCGGTGCCTTGAAGAAATCCGGTGGTTAGTAAAAAGCTCCCGCTACGCGACAATCGTGTGCGCTGTTGTGACCGGATTGTCCTCAAAAGTCTCTTAGTGTAAGTGCCGGGTGCACCCGTCAATCCTTGCCCCATGCGTCGATAACAGAATTGACCAAGGTTAGTGCTAAATGCTGTCTTGTATGCATATGCTAACCGCACTTCATCACCAATCCTCAAGAGTTTGAACCGCTTCGATCGTCTTTGTTGCTCCTCCGACCCTCCCTGCACCTGTTAACCCGCAGCCCAAGACAAAGGCTCGCCTTGCCCCGTCTTTGACACGGCCAAAGGCGATTTAAAGCAACGGCTCGCCCCGGTATCGTGCAGCTGTAACTATTGCGGAGGAATTGATTCAGCAGCAACTGGCGCTGAGATAGCTTCTGGGACGAGTTCTTAGACAGTTTCCTCGACGGTGATCCTAGAGGACCTCATCTCCGGATTACCGATTGGCAAACATCATGTTGATCATTTGAAGCTATTTATTGCTCGAACTGACGCCCAAGTCGAAGAATCGAGGCCACGTGAGAAGAATAAAGGTGATATGGACTACGCTTCGTACTGACCAGTTCCTCGTCAAGCTTGACTGGGGCCTCTTCACTCCGGCACAAACCCATGTCGTTGGATAACTCGAGTATTAATGGCCTGAATCGCTGAGTTGAGATACAAATGCCAGCGTCTCACTTCTGCCGGTCGCTCGCTCATTTGCGTGGGGCGGCTTGAGCGAGACGCTGATCAAATGTATGAAGAGGATTATGGACCATTCGCAGTTTGCCATTCGATTTTCGCGGAAAGGTGGTCTTCGACGACCACGGGGACACACACCGTTGCTGTTTTGTACCCCAATGAAACGAAATAACCCTCCGATTGGCCTCCTTCCCTTGCTCTTCATTCGCTACCTGAGGTACTGCAGTACTTTTCGAGCGCTGCAATGTGACCAGCCCAAACTTGCGCCATGCTGGGAGCAGGCTGTAGCCCGGCGCTGTAATCATTCTCGGGAAGCTTGATTAGACAAAAGGTGCCATATGCGAATGACATAGTATCGTTTGAGTATCATCTTGAACTTCCTGGTTGGTTGGATTGCCAAAGGGTGGTATTTCCATGCCATGTAGCAATATATCCATCTGCTATGCCGAAGCATTCTCCTGGCCCCCGAATGCCTCGTCAGTGCTCTCTCTTTGTCAGTATTATCAAGTCCTTGAGGCTGGACATCGAAAATACAGGTATCGAGATTACAATAAAGCAAAGTTCGAGACGTAATAGGAAACTACCCCTATAGTGAACTTGTAATCCACCATCCGCATCCGTCCGATTGCCGAAGAGTTTGAGGGGCTTCTTTCTTCCATCGATGAAATTGGGAAGGGATAACAGGAACAACAGATGAGAGGGCTCAGAGGGCAAATAATTGCTCTCCGAAGCAGGCTGCATCCCGGCGATGCACCTTCCAGGGCCTCCATATGACGATTCTTGTACTCTTGTGCTGTGATGGTCCTCGCTCGTTGATTTGATGAATTCTGTCAAGACAACACTCTGTCCTCGCTGAGACCGATTTTGAGAACGCAGGATCACATACCCGATATTACTGTGCTGTAACAGCGGTCTCCGTGCGGACCAGGGCAGACCTGCGATTTGGTGCTGATGGCAAACGAATAAGGAACCTGACATTTGTATAGGTAATCCCAGCCAGGCAACCGGTCGGCTTGACGTGTTTCAAATCTAGGTCTGAACCAAGCCATGCGTCCGGGCTACTGGCAACGACTACATTCGGGGTCCCCGCCAGCGGTCCGTTCATCAAAATCCCAGGATTCATTAGCGTATGCAAGTCACAGGGACGCGATCGTGCAAGAAGGAAGGCCAGAAGCAATCGGCTACCTCACCAGAATGGACTGAGCGCAGAACCGGTAAATGAGTTAGGTGTCATACGACACACCATGAATTGACCCTGTGAGCACCAGCACTACTCAGAATCTCGCGGATGGTAGTTGGGTCAAATATTGCACGGGTTCGTTGCATTGCCGGTCGCGCGTATTCGAGAAGGAGACTTGTTTCTTCCTTGCTGACACAGTAGGGAGCGTGCGGTAAAGCGTGCGGTAGAGCTGTCTGTCGACGACGCGCCCCTACCCTCCATCTCGAGATTACCCCATCAACGTGCCGGTCGGATGGTGAGAGAGCATGCCCTATGTCGAGGTGGCCATCGCCGCTAGGAACTCCGTAAGGGGGATGCGTGACATTGATCGGGGATCAGTCCATGGAATACAGGACTTGCAAGCCACGGAGCCGTCTCTTTTCCTCGGGTCATATGCAACGATTTGAAAACTTTATGGAACGTGGTAAGCAGGTACGAGCTCGACATTGGGGTCTCGAACCCCCAATGATCTCCATTACCGGATCTTACTTTCGTGACTGCCATATGTCTTCTAAGTAGATAAGCACCGCAGCACTATGCTTGTCATGCTAGAAGTGTATCACTGTTTCGCATTTGAACATGGGGTCTTCTATCGTCGGGCAAGCTTTTGTGAAGAAGGATATCGCGAATTGAAAGGGACGGCGTCATTGCGTTGCAATAATCTCTCTGCCTCGCTGATTTTCAAGACTTTTCGGCCTTTTGTCAATCAAGGGACGGGGCGACGGAGGATAAATAGTGGAAAGGTAGATAGAATGCTGCCCCAGACAATCCATTTCGCGATTTGGCCAGTCAACGCAGAGAAACGTTTGGAAAAATGTTGTTTCCAGCCACAGACACGTAGTACCACGTTGCGTAGTCTATTTGATCAGTGGCGGTTCGATTGTCTTGTGCTTCGGGTTTCAACACATTCCCCTGTGATATGAGTCCCAGTATATCTTCCTTTTTTTCCTTCAGTACATCACCCCCCACAGACAGAGGGGGCAATTGGGATCCGACTCAAGGCCTTTCGCATAGATCCGTCACCTCGCCAATCAGGAGGATACGAACCACCTCCACAGCAGTTGCTCTTGATGGCCTGTCGCAGCATATGTGCGTGGTAGGCTTCAATAAGCCTGTGGATCATTCCTCTTTCACCTTCGTCCGGCAGGGACCCAGTCTCCGAAGCACTCTCAATTTCGGAAGTCAAACACCCGTGATCCTCGCGCACGGGGAACAAAGCCCGCCGTATTTGAGATGAGCAGGACCATACGAATCCATATCTCCATTGTGCGCATTGCTAAGCGAGGTGAGTGGACAGGCTGTTCGGGTCACGCCGGGGGCCGTCGTGCGGTGCCCCCAGCATCGACCAGGGTCGCATTATCGTTGACAGCCTACCATCGTGGATAGTCATGACATCTCTCGTGATTTCATACCCCTAACCAGATGGTCCAGGTACCATTTTGACTATCAATCAGTACGAGGTACCACTCCCACGCTAATAAAGGTCGAGACACTGCGTACGTCAGTGGGTGTCGGTCGGCCGACTGCGAAGAGAGTGTGGTGACCACTACACGATATGGGCCCGGTGCAGGTTAATCTCACACAGTGATTTGGTTACAGCATGGAAGTTTATTATGCTTTCCTCAGCGCCTGAATTGAGCAAAGAACCTGCGCGGCTCTTAGAGTGTCTAGAGGCTAGGCACAACTCCAGCCATCTCCGGTTCCTTCGTCGGGTCTTCTCCGTTTGCAGCCTGATTCACTGGGCACTCTCCCATGGACTTTTCTGTCGAATGCGTACGGTAAGGGCTAGAAACGCCCACCTTGCAGAAACGCGCGCGCATGTGAAGATCACAGGGACCTGTCAGCAGGGTTTGTTGGGGCCACTGGATAGACCAGGAGTCTGAAAGAGGTCGTGGACTGTCAAAGGACACTATAGCGTGATGTATCCTTGATATATCGTTGTATATCAGGTACTCAGCGATAGGGAAACGCGAGTTTTGGTAGAAATATTGAGCAATCGCCTGGTCTGTGTAGGTCCAGGTTTCTAAGCACGTACATAGAACCACTTCTGATGGGTACCAAAAGACGCTAGTAGCATGATATGGATAGGAAATGAAATACTAGAGCCTGTGAGATATAAAGATCCTTTCAGGTATCCGTGGAAGCCAGGACTTACGACATGTGGATGAGTAAAGGTGGAAGTTGTTGATGAAAATGAACTTGGAAGATGACGTGGAAGAGGATGAAAAGGTGGATGAGAGAAGAAAGAAAGACGGGGGATAAGGAAGGTCCTTATAACTTGGGGATGGAAAAGCTTGAATGATGTTGAGTCAGTGGGAGCCATTCACCTATCAGAGTCATTGAATAGATCTGATTGTTTGCAAGAGAAAGGGTAGAGTAAGAAAGATTGCAGTGAATAACTCCCCAAGGTGGATCGATTCTATAGACGAAGGTAGCTGCAGACATCCTGATTTTTTATGCTAGCAAAGAACTAAGAAAAGTATAATATGCTAATGGAGCAAAGAGTGAATGACACAATCGTTGTGAATATACTTCTACATAACAATAGAGATGAATACTTTACATCAATTTACATCAATTTACATCAATGAAGGTACTCCTCTCCAGTAAGACTAGCTAGTACCCTTTATATTCAGATGACCTTAAGTACAACCATAGCAATTCGGCATTATTATACCACCTATGTACAGCAGCGCAAGTCATTCACCAAGATGCTCCAGTGCCGGAAGAATTACAGCTATGTCCACCGGCAAACCCCACATTTACTCACCCCAACCATCGCCATACAAATAGGGTCCATCAGTAAGTAGCCTTCGCCAGATTATCATCAAAAGTCGCATCCTTGAACGGCACGATCGCGCTCCCGAAGTCGGTATCCGACAGCGCCGTGCTCGCAGCCGAGGGCAGACTCTCCCAGGCGACCAGCGGCTGGGTCCCGCCGACGGTGGTGGTGAGCCCGCACGAGTGGTCGATGGGCCAGATGCTTTCGTACTTGATCAGCGGCTTGACGCCGTCGAGCGTGTACCCGTCGGTGGAGCAGTCCCAGTCACCATGAGCAGAAGGGCACACGGCCAGGATGTTGTCGGCGGTGTAGACGGTGGGGTCGGAGATCCAGACGATCACGCCCTCCCAGTCGTGGCGGTGGCCGAGGCCGGTGGAGGGCTCGTCCTTGGGCATGTACCAGCTGTACAGCAGGGCGGTCGGGTAGGTGTAGTCGCCGGTCGAGGAGACGTTGCTGCGGACGTAGATCTGGCCCGTTGAGGAGCTGCAGTCGCCGTCGGAGGCGCCGGTGGGGGCTAGCCCTGCACTTTGGAGGTGTTAGGGTAGATTTTGATATGGAGGGGGGAAGATGGGCAAGCAGTGCGGGGAAGGGACAGGGTTGAGGGGAAGGGGTGGTGTATGCGGGGTTATCATGTACTCTACTCTACTCACTTGGTATCACCCTCCGCATCAACGGCAGGGAACGGCACACATCCGTTGACCACGTAAAGGTATGGCTGGTAGTTCAGGTACAATGTGCCTGTAGCATCATCAGGGACCGTCTGGTCAAAGCCTACGATCTCGTCGCTGGCGATGGTGCCGCGTGCACTGAGCTTGGAGGTGGCAGGGCGGGCCTGGACCATGGACAGGCCCGTGGCGAGAAGGAGGGCGGATCGGAGAGACATGATCAATTGAATTGAGGGATAAAAAGATTGATTCTGGCCACTTCAAACTCTGAAGAATGTTCCTGACAGCCTGAAGCAAAGTTTGGCAGGATGGATGGGGCGCACCTTTTATGCTGGTCGCAATGGGTAGGAATCGGCAGGATCGGCAGTTCTCCCCTGAAGAGCCAGTTATCAAGGTGGGGAAGAACGGTCGGTCGGCCGCGCAACTCCACCATTGGAGCTCACAGGTAAGAACCCATTGTAACCATGTGAGAGAGAACGTGATGGATGATCGGAGGGGAAGTGGTTGAAGACAATGGATTGCTGGACGGGATCGATATTAATCCCGTCAGTCATCTTCCTCCAATCAGAGGGGGCGAGGGCTTCACGCGACGGTTGAGGATCAGTGCGTCGCCGCCACGGTGAGATTCCTCTGGCTGACAGACATTTATCAAGAACCAAGCTAGCTGGAGGCAGTTTCCTTAGTCTATTGCTTGGTCTTTTAAGACAATGACTTCGTCAGACCGTTGGCATTCTGCATTCTGCAGCTTAGGGCTGGGCCGAGGTTGACCCGGTGCCTAGTTTCGGGCTCGTAGGGTGCCGAAGTGAGCATTCCTTGGAATAAATTAAAGTATATATGCAGATTGTGATAAGAGAAATCTCATCAACACCACCAGGGCAAGAATGTAATCACCGTGCGGGCGAGTCTCCCGCTCAGACCATAGCAGCCTGCTGCTGCAATCCCGCCTGCCCGCCAACCAGGCCCACCATCATCTCGCTTCTTCTTACCACGGGCTCTGGAGCGACTTCTCTCCTAGCCTTAGCTCTCCGGATCACCGTCCCTTCTCCATGGCCTTCGCCCGCAAAGACCTCTTTTAACAGCCCTCGAGGATGTACTACAGACACCCTTGCCTCTTCACCCTCCTTTCCCTCCAACAAATCTTGCACCGCCGTCATCCTCACTCTCCACCGCATCCCCAACCGCGCCCACTCCTGCTTCCGCAACCACTCCAAACTGATCACGTCCATTTTCCTTCCTGTCCTCCCATTCACCAAGCCGCCTGTCTCGGAAAGGTACACGACCTTCTCCGGACGCAGCACCCGCGCCAGGGCAGATGCCGCCAGGTCCGCATGGACATTGAGAACTTGTCCATCGGAAGTCTCTCCCATGCAGGTCAGCACCGGCACGCAAGATGCGCGCAGAGCCGCTCGGATAGACGAGTCTTCAATCTTGTTGACTCTGCCCACGTGGCCGTACTTGCTTGCATCAAGGTACTCGGCTTGAAAAACACCCGAGGTCAACGGCCGAGCGGAGACACCGATATTCTCGAGCTCCTGAACAAGCTTAAAGTTCTCCTCGAGTAGAGCTGTGCGAGCCAGCGCCAGGGTGCGTCCATCGGTGACGCGGATGCCATCGTGGAACTCTGACTTGACTCCCGTGGCAGAGAGCAGCGTGTTAAGCTGGGGCCCTGCGCCATGAACGAGAATCGGGTAGAGGCCAATATGGCTTAGGAAGGCGATCGCAGACGCGAGTGAAGGGAGGTGGTCAGCGAGAATAGCACCGCCGACTTTGATGACGGCGAAAGGGCGGGACGAGAAAGTGGGTGTGCTGAAGTATGAGAGGTACTGTTGGGCGGTGTGTTTGGAGTCTATTTGGCGCAGGAGTTGTGCTATCGTGGACCGAGTTGCGGCCACCTGGTCGCTTTGAGCCTGCGAGTACAGTCGGATACCGTGAGTAGGATATACCACGGGCAGGGTTGAGCTGCCTCGTATAGAATGCATGAGTCCCAGAGGGACCGGTATCGTGGGGGTGAAGCGACCCATATCGTAGACAAGGCAACTGGTGTATGATAATCGTTCGTTGTGGGCGAACAAAAGCCGGGTTGAATCAGCGCGGGTCACAAGGGTTTATATCCCTCACTGATAAAGAGCGCATAGGCAGCGCAGTTCATGCCTTGATTTCACCATCCGGTTGGGTTGTGTTATATCCCTCATCGCGGCCCGCGGTCGGAATCGAACCGACGATGTATCATAGCAGCGACTGGTGGTGGGGTTTGACTGGAGCCATGGTTCCAGGCTTCATTCCTAATTTCGAGTCGTAGACAGCCACGAGTATCACTCAAATACAAGTTGGCCATGAGAGAGTCTCAGGATAATCTTGGTGGTGTTGCAACACTGGATCGCGCGGAGAGTTCGTGATGGCGCCCAAAGTCAGCCACCCCTCCCCAGCCATGCAACTCGGGCAGGCACACCGACAAGATGACAGCAGCGGGGTTTTCTGGCATATCTTCTGCAGATCCACGTATCGCGTACTGAAATTGAAGTATGGCCAAGTCCCATTTTCCTTCAGGGTAACATCGCGTAGCGCGCTCACCGCCACACTTCAAGGTTCCATCTTTCATCCCGCTTGGTGCGTCATTTTCTCTCTTGTCGGCTATTGGTTGGCCAAATCACGCTGCAAGAGAACTGGGAAGACACGCATCGGGCACGCACGCAACGTTCGACAGATAGTAGTTCTCTCAGGAGATAATTTAACATGATCAGGCGAGAGAATCTGCCAAGCGCTCGGAAGGTCTGGAACTGATCATCGATTTTCGTCCATTCCGCACAAATCAAATCCACCCATCTGGCGACTAACACAGCTCTGATAGGTCTGGGCCTGGGGATTCAGCACAACTCTCTGATCGCACTAAGCAGATCCAAGTTAGCGCAATGGATTCTCCCTAGGCACTGAGAAGCATGCGGTGGATGTGGACATGTGGGGGTTAAACGCCAGGAGCACCTGCTGCCACTCTATGGCCATCCGTCGAATGCACTTATTGTTGCAACGTGCTTAGTTTCTGGGCTTGGTCGCAACAGAATGCTTCCAACTCTCAGTAACGAGCTCAATGATGACATTTAACTTCAAGCGAACACATTGGTTGTAGGTCGTTGGTGGGGAAGAATATGACACCTTCAATATTCGAAGCCACAAGTCATACATACGTAGCTGCCTAGGTCGAGCACTTTTGTTTAGTAGAGTACTCTGCTAAACGGCGAGTTGGTTTGTAGGTATAGTATAGGCATGGGAAGCGGCCCATCGAGTCATCCTTATTCATGAAAGGATGGGATCAAGGATGGGATCAAGTTCAATGCCTCATGACTGCATGGCAATGATGACATGCCGCGTGAGCGACATGGGTGCAACCGGAAAAGAAGGCAACAGTCTCATCCTAGCAAAGCAAAGGATACAACGTCCGACAGGCACTCTGTGCTGCCAAATGCAAGTGCACTAGTCTAATGACCATTATAGCCTCCTTGAATGGAGCACACCCATGAAGCTTATGTGCGCCGGAAAGGTGGGTTTTGTCGTGTCGCACAGCATCACCCGCCTCATGCCTCCTGTAGATGGGCACTGATGCACGATTTATTAGGACCCGGTAGTTTAGCAGAGAGAAGGAGTTCTGTAAAAAGCGACCGTGGCAAAGGAGCATGGAAATATGCCTCGCCTCGAAGCAAGCTGGATCTGATTCGACACCCGATCAGTCGAGTCGATGCTGGTTTCTCTATCGACTAATCAATTACGAGACGAGCACAGGCTAACCATGTTGGGTCCGGAGCCTCACATCGACCAACATCGTACATCGTAGTTAGTGACTTGTGGCCTGGATGTCGATGAGTGTTGTGATCGCATTCGAAATTTGCGGGCCGACCCACGTTGTCTCTTCAGTTACACGGATCGCGTGCGGTCATACCAAGGATGGCCAAAGCCACGCATCGAATAACAAACTCTCAACCACAATACTATGGTAGAGCAGGCGACATTTGTCCGATCGGAAACCAAATCCTGTCGTTGGTACAAATGATAAAGAAGTATAAGAGCGGGGCGACTCCGCTACAAGGCTTGCAGGCGCATGGATCCAACGCCGCCCACGCTTGCCCGCGCGGGCGGGGCGACTAAAATTAGTCTCAGTGTCGATTGCAGCAGCTGACGATGACTCAACCCCTCATTTAAATCAGTCACTTGTCTGCTTATCTTCCAGCCAGCTGTTCTGTTCGCTCCACGTTCCGTCACAAATCTTCTCAGACAACATGACGGCAGCCGAAACGATTCGTGTCTCCCAGAAGGATGGCTCTACTCTGCGACTCGAGTTCGCCACGATCGATGATCTGAATGAGATCACCGACCTGTGGTACAATGCCTTCTCACCCGGCATGTTGTTCCTCTGGCCAGACACCCCGGGGGTGCGCCAGTGGTGGAACGATGCCAACCGCCACGACATGCTCCACAAACCCAACGCGAAGTATCTCAAGGTCGTGGACACAGCGCAGAATGGCCGCATTGTCGCGTACGCCAAGTGGTCGCTGGAGACCGCCGAAGAGCGCGGACGACGGTGGCCCGCGTGGCATTCTGAAATGGACCCAGCCTTGATGGATAAATTTCTGGGCCACTTGGAGACCAACCGGACGATGGCTGTCGCAGGTGCTCCCAAGAACTTCTGTACGTTTGACCCCGGGAGAATCGGAGTATCTCGTTGAGGGTTATTGAGAGTGGACTGACGGTGCTCACGCGACCACCAGATCTTGATATGCTAGCGACACATAGCGACTACCGGAAACGCGGTGCCGCACGGTTATTGCTCGAATGGGGATGTGAGGTGGGCGACGAGGAGAATGCGCACATTTATATCGACGCGAGCACCGATGGCCAGCCGGTCTATCAGAGGTTCGGCTTTGTGAGCAAGAATGACCCCACTGTCGATCCGTTCGAAGTCGCGGCCATGGTGAGACAGCCAGGGTGGAAGTCGGTTTGACCCCAACGTGTCCAGGAATTTGGGTACTGCAGATTATGAGATGGTATAACAGCACATTCTAGCAGTGAAGTGATACATAGATAGTTTGGTCACCTTTGAGAAAGCGTGGTGCCTTCCTTACCCAGAAGGCACATCAGAATCCTGTTTTTGGCTAGATTAATGTAAGGCGTTGTGAAACCTATACAACCCGTCAGTCAACGTGAACACATGTAATTTCCTAGAGGTTATGCTTCCAATAGGCGGCATCAAGCATTAACCTCTTATACCAAGCCTTTGAGGACAGGTCTTGCCAAAATGGCTTCCCAAGCTCGCTCCCGGGCGTTGTTATCGCCCCGTTGACGCTGAATAATGTGGCATCTGATCTTTGGAAACACTCATCGCGGAACCTCGGATGGGAAGAAGTGTCCGACAATACTGGTGTTGTCGCTTTTCTAATATAAGCTATATTCTTGTTGGTCAAAGTAAGTGTCATCCCTGTTAGACTAAAGCCAACATGAAAGCTAAAGTAAGCCATTCGCGAAGGCTAGTAAGTCACTATGCCCGGTTGGAGCCATGCTTTTCGGGCCTACCCGACGCGCAAGGATTCTGCCGCATAAGTTCGGATTGCATGCTTCTTTGACAGATTCGGACCCCGGCTCTAGCATCCATGATAGGCTAATAGGTAGTTAGAAAACATCCCGTCGTCTTCGAACCCTGACTGAGACACGGATAGTACTAGTACCGAGTACATGATAGACTTTAAGTCACGATAGCATCCCATTCTCATTCCCCACCGAGGCAAAGGCTATTGGATAATTAAACCCCCCAGATCCATGAAACCTGCATTCGATATGTTACCAACTTCACATTTCAAGATCTCAACTTTAGTAGGTCATCAGTCGATAGGTAGCTGGCCTGACTTCCACAATCAAAATAGGTATTTCTGCTGTTTCCTATCCTGTCTTAGCTAAAGAAAATAGACACTACGACTAGCGTGGACCTGTATGAACTTGGAAGGATACTACCTTTTCCCCTTCTAGGAGAAACAATCCTCCAAAGCAGCCTAATAGCAAGTTTCGAGTTGAGGGACGAAGTCCATTCCACCAGACAATCATGAAATTCCAGGCAACTCTACCCCTCGCCGTTTTACTGTCTGCTGCGTCTGTTACTTCCAGCGTAAGTTGCTATAGCGCAATACAACAAAAGTGAAAGCTTACACCCTGTCCTAGGGGACCAACAATGTCTGGGACATTGTCGCAACCCTTATACAGGCTCCTTCAGGTGACGGATATCTCCACCTGGATGATGACGGCGTCTTAATATCCCTTAGTGGATCTGGAGACGTGCTAGCATATCGACAATTAGACCCCAAACAAATCAATCAGTACATCAATCGCTTTCCTTCGCCGGCCAGGGAACACCTTCTCGGGGTCTTCAAAGGTGTTGATGGTAGAGACGTGATTGACATTGCGCAACTCGCCCACTTCGACTTAAAGGCACTACTCCCAGAGCCTGATGAAGCCAGTCTTCCTGTTGCCAGTTCCTCCTCTACTCTCAATCACCTGGCGGAGCGCGCATGTCACAACTATGCTTGCTCGGGTCCCGTCTTGTGCTATTCTTATACCTGCTCTGTTTGTGCTAAGGCAGACCATCTTCACTGGGGCTTATGCTATTGAGGGGAGAGTGCTGTTGAGGGGCGAGGAATATTTCGGCAAGTTGTAAGGTGTTTGGGATTTACGTGACCCGTTCATCTTTTTCGCTAGTAGATGCCAGGGCACTTTTGCTTTCAGATATTCGACATGGAATATCCAAGCTTTTGCCGCTCCTGATCAACTTGTGGTTATTTTGGTACTTTTCCAGGGCTAGGTAGACCGGTGGCGTTGTGCCTAGGGTGCAGCGCCTCCGCCAATCATTTCCTAATTTGAGAAGAATTGTTGGTTCAGTATTTGTTGACCTTTGCTCTCTGTAAGTTACCCTATTCCCCTTGCACATATAAGGCTTAAGATTGCCCCATCCTTTGACCCCTCCAAAACCAAAATCTGAAAGACACAAGCATTTGTTGTCCCATATTCCGACGTCCGTGATAGCACAACAACTACGATCTTCTAGACTCCTATCTCTCCTAGAAACTCCCAATGCAAGAAACATGCGAAGCAGCAGCGGAACACATGGTACGCACACTCTGGGTCTCAACTCCCTCTCTTGTTAGACTCAAAATGCACATTAAGATTTATACTTTCGATAACCTACAGCCCGAAACACAACAAACCGCAGCTGAGGGGCCCGCCTGCGCAAATAACTCCGTCTTATTAACCACTCTGCGCGCCTTACCACAGGACCCGCTGGGCTTCTCTCATCTGGGCATGGACGGAGTGTGGCGAAACTGGGGTCAGGGTCGCAACGTGGTCAGCTATCGTGCTCTCAGCCCCGAAGAGATTTCTGAGGTGCTTGGGATTTTCCCTGGCTGGATGCGGGAAAAGTTCGAGCAGGGGCTGGAGGGGGTGGATGGGAGGGATGTGATGGATATTGAGCAGCTTTTGCATCCTAGGGAGGAGCTCTTGCCGAAATTTGAAGATGATGGGGGGTTGTAGTCAATCGCTGTTGTATGAGGAAGAAGAAAACTTTTCTTTTCCTTTCTTCCTTTTGATCTTTGATTTCTTTTTCTTTTTCCTCCCTCCACACTTCTTGAGGTGACTTTGAGTTTTCTGTTACCTGCCTACTTATTGTCGGCTCCCTCTCAAGGTCGTGGGTTTGGACTGTTCTCGAAGACAGGCGGGGTACTAGTTCTTTTACTAAAGCTGCTTACCAATCAACCAGATGTGATGTTAGAGACTTCTATGATGTGAGCGCTGTGTAATTCAGTCACCCATTCTTGATATGCCTCAGTACAATGCTTAAGGCGATAGAAGAGACTGATCTAAATCCATGCAACAATTCAAGTCTCAAACTTCTTGAAGATCCAGGTGCATCATCAGTCACGTGCATTGACTTGGAAGGGCCTAAACCCCACATTAAAGAGTTCAGCAGGGATTCGATGCATCGGGTGTGTCTTTTCGAGAGATCGACCGTGCGGCCAGCATGCCCTTTTCTCCGGACAGGACAGGACAATAAGACATAAAGAGCCCATCAGCGAGTTCGAGGTCTCCTAGGCGAATAAGACCAATCTTGGTGCAACCGGGCCCGATGGGGCCTACCCCAAAGATACCTAGTAAAGCTCAGGTGAAATAAGTCTGTACTGTACTGCACAAGTATCCTTGAATTAGGGGATTGCATGGCTTTAAGCGATCCGCAATAGATAGGTCGCACCATCAGGCGAGTGGGATCTGCTATCGTCGGCTTGAACGCACTGCCTTGTGGATACTGCCCGATACCATGCGGGAGATGCAATTGGCTTTCTGCAAGTCTCCGAGTTAACGATGGCAGATGTCTTGTTCAAGGATGAGTTGATTCTTGCATCGTCACCCCAAGAGCCGACCTGTCGGACATGGGGAGACTGTCAGATAAGCACCACTTATAGGTCGGTACCCAAAACACCCCTTTCTCCGATGTGTAAACAGGAGCATAATGTTGGGACAAAAGGTAGATATGGCTAATATCATAGTGCTTCTCTAAGTAAAGGCCAAATTAAGGGGGAACTGGCTTACCAGAGCTCCAGCTTGAAGGTAGAATTCTTGGGTTGTGACCAGAACATAGACTATCACTCATTCTTGGACCGTACTCTGAGCTGACAAACATATATCACGGAGGTATCTGGAGGCAGGGGATGGCTACGAAAACTGGACAATCAAGCTGTGCAGTACCACCCTGCTAACAGTCTTAGTCCTGAGCCAAATGCCCCCGAATCATCTCCAAAACCATCTCATTCTTCTCCAGATGCACACTATGATTTGCGCCAGCCACAACCGCCAACTTGGCTCCCGGGATCCCCTCGACAATAACCTCTGATTGCGCCGGCGGACAAATCCAATCTTTCTCCCCAACGATGACTAGAGTCCTCGCACTGATCCGATGGAGCTGATCTCGATAGTCGAAAAATTTCTCTGGTGTGGCGTAAAGATCATCTAAGGCACGTGTCAGTCACCGGCGGTTACCGTTCAGCAGAGTAATAGAGCAGCAGCGGAGCATACTATGCGATTCGGCATTGAATACTGTAGCAAGATTCTGCTGTAAAGCAAGATCAGGATCAAACCTCTCTCGATAGAGCGGTGCAGCAGCATGCATCACAAGCTGGAACTCGATGTCACTGTCGAAGTGACCGAAGATCTTGTCACGGAGCATGTTGATGCTCATCCCCGGGGCTCGGTGGAGACGGGCGTGGAGGGTTTGGATGGCTTGTTCCTCGTCTGTACGGTAAATCAAAGAAAAACTCGCAAGGTGGTTAGCATGTGCGCGTCTCTGCAGCACTCAGGTGGGGGTGCTGGTAAAAGAAAGTTCGTGCCCGCAGTGACTTACGATGGTGGGAAGCAGCAGTCCCTCTCAAGATCAAATGAGACACTTTATTTGGGTACTGTATAGAGTATTGCAAAGCCAGAAATCCACCGAAGCTGCCGCCGCAAATGATGCACGGGGTGTCTGCCCCTGCAAAGCGACGTCGAAGGGCTTCGATGTCGTCCACTAGTTGCTGGAAAGTATACGGTTTGGTGCGCGAACTGTAGCCATGTCCGCGATAGTCGAATGAAAGGATACGGTAGTTACCCTGAGATAAGGGAGAGTAGGCTTTGAAGTCGGAGGTGTGGTCTCCTGTTCTGCGGTCAGCTAGAGGCATGTCTGGTACAAGGCGCAGTTTTACTGACCGAATCCACGACCACCGTGCAGAGTGATGATTAAGGGAGCATCCTTGGGTCCGACCAGGCGGTAGGCAAGGCCAGCACCATTGACAGTAATGTGTTCTACCATTTGGCCAAGGAAGGGATGTCAAAGAGCAGAATTCTGAGAGAACGTGGGCAAGTATCGAGTTCTTATATCGGTGGTTTCACTAATAAGTTAGCACTAAGAGATTACGTGATGCCCCCTGTCTTCTTCCTCCGCTGCACGACCCGCTGCACTGTATCTATGCCAACTCCCGTCCACAACGTCAGAGCAACCACAAACGCCAGCCCACTGGCCCACCCATGCGTCTTCTTGAACTCAGGCGCCTGGCTGCTGGGGAATTGAAACTGTTGGAACGGTATGACCACAGCCTGGCCTAACGAGACCATAAATGCCAGAACGAAAGCGCGCAGTTGCTGATCTCCGCCGCAGACAGAATTGACCCAGCCCGCCAACAGGGGGGTATAACACCCATAACATCCGCTAAGAATAAACACCGCCATCTTAAATCGCTCCGATACATCCCACGCTGTCAGCACCGCGAAGCAGAAGGTCAACAAACATCCCACTGCAAAGCACACCGGCCCCCGGCCCTTCTCGCCAAAGAAATCCACAAGATACCCGGTCGCCACCATAAACACGAAGTTGATCGCGCCCATGCAAGTCGGGAGGGAGTTGATCTGCGGTACGGAGTAATCGCCCGTGGACTTCAGCCACAGTGTGAAATACTGCATGACATACGATCCGCACGTCAACGTCCAGAGACAATACGCCATCGAGAAGACGTAAAGCTGCCAACTGCCCAGCACCCGCCGGATCACGCTCCAGTCCAGTAGTCGATGCTGGCTGAGTGGAGTCCGACCGTCCTCTGCAATCCGCTCAATCGCGCGCTTGCGCTCCCAGTCGCTCAGATAAAATGCCTGCGTTGTCTCGGGGGTATCCGGGTAGAAGGCCAGCCCGTAGGCGGCAACCGGTACCGCCAGAACGAAGTCGAAAATGAAGAGCCATCGCCACGCGGGCATCCCTCCCTTCCCATCCATTCCACGATACAGACCAGCTTGCAGATACCCGGAGAACATCTGACCCAGCACCCCGGACATAACAAACAGGCCGCTCCGGCGTGCCATCTCCGATTTGGTATACCAGCATCCCAGCACGTATTGGATTCCAGGCCACGCTGCGGACTCGAACAGGCCGATGCAAAACCGAAGCGCGTAGAATTCGTGGGCCGTGTTGCATTTGAACAGGAACAGCACGAAAAGGGACCACGCGAAGAGACAAAACGGCAGCCAGAAGCGCGGGCGCACGCTAGTGAGAATTAGGTTCGAGAATGGTCCGCCGATGATGACGCCGGCGTTGAAGTATGTGTTCATCCAGCTGAGTTCATTACCTGGGCCGAAGTGCAGATCGCTAGCCATTCCGGACGCATAGGCATTCGTCACATTGTTGCCGTCAAGCTGTTTGATGAAGAAACACAAGCAGCTATAGCTCAACAAGAACCAGTCTAGTTTGAAGATGAGCCATTTTTCTTCTTTGGATGTATTGGGCTCGTGCCAGTGGAGGAGCGCCCATCGTCGCCGCCGCGGCGGAAGTTCCGTGACAACCGCTGGAGGCCGTTTCCCCGAATCGGAATCAATCGACGACATCGTACAGTTGCGACACAATACATCTTTTCGTCCCATCGTGAATTCGACGTGACTTTATACAAGGCGCATCAGGTAACTTCTACTGATAACATACATCTTGCAGATGGTGCAATCCGACATAAATTCCCCCATTAGGAACTGCAGTAGCGCCCGTCTTCGGAGCGGGGCCGACGGTGTTCTAGCCACGAGAAGTTAGAAGAAAGAGCAAACAACGTCTGGCTCGTTCAAACGAGATAAGGGTGGCGCAAATTTCGGGGACTGCCCCTCCATCCGAGCGAAGCTGAGGCCCGTTGGCTCTTCCCAGCTAACGATATCCTGGTAACAATTGGCCCGGCCTAGAGTGTCGCCCAGCAAGGATAACATCTCCAGCCGTGATGACTGCACGCTATCATCACCGACACCAATAGCAGGCCCTGGAAGGATTTCTTCTAGCTTTCGCATTATGCCTACCAAATGATGTGCCTGTCGCCACTGTGGTGGAAAGCTTCCTAGAATATCTATACAGACTCGGGTCTCGATTCGGATGGGATCGGCCAAGTCTGCGTCGGACGCAAAGCAATGCAGCAATACCAAACAGGCTGGTACCAGCCGATTTAGCGTGATCCGGTTCAACGGCAATTGTCGGCTACTAAGGAGAACTCGATTGTACTGTAGAAACTTCCTTACCAGTTCCAGCAGGGATCTGACACGAAAGATCCCATTGACGTCGGAACGAACATTAAACCGACATGGATAATGCAGCAGCAGAAGCAAATGATAGTATCGCGCATTTAACCAGCCCATGGTATCGTGTACGCGCACATTGTCAGGCTCCGGTCGGGAGATCAGGCAGCCTTGACTGTACCAGTCTTCTATGTCCAACCGCAGTTTGGCCGTGATGGTGCTGCAATCGAAGGGAGCTTTCTCCCCGGGTAAACATCCGCCGGTCAGATGCACTGTGGAGAGAATCCGTGCTTCTAGTTGGCGCAGCTCGATAACATGTCGACTGACTTGCAGCATGGCAGCCACCTCAGCCCTCTCTGGCGTGGCGAATTCTTCAACCGTGATAGTTGGCAAAGGAATCATGGCGTCCTCAACTGTGAGACCCGGGGACTGCCCGACTGACACCGCCATCATCCGGTCTAGGACAAAAATACTCCAGAATAGGCGGCGACGGAGCTGGACGGTCTGTGGGGTTAAGCCGTCCTCCAACAACCCCGGTCGAGTGAGGCCCAGGCTCACGGCTTGGCGAGTGATGATGCCCACAATGGTCCAAGTGGACGGGCCTTGTGGATCGAAAAGGGAGTATAAAGCCAAGAGAATCAGGATTTGAACCGAATAGATGCTCTCCTCCATAGTGCATCGCTGCAGGATCTCGGCATATGCGATCGTAAAGCCGGCAGTCTCTGCACTTGGGGCCTTTCCTGATCGCTCGAGACTTGTATGGCCGATTGCCATCACCATGTACAAAATCTGTCTTTTCATGTTAAGAGTGTCGTATAAAAAGTGTAGGTCAGCTCAAACTGACCATTGCGTCATCCTCAGGGCTATCGTTGGGTACGTCCACTGCCGCTCGCAAAATCCTCTCCTTATCGAGGAAAGGATACGCCCGGTAAACATGATGCAGGAACGCCTCAACCAACACAATTGGACTTGCAACCGGCCCATGTGGCTCGATTAGGCGCTGCGCCAAGCCAACCTGCGGTGTTCGCACTGCTTCAAGCTCTCTGACATGTTCTGTCAACTTATCCAGTCGGGCCTGCAGCGCTTCCACCTCATCTCGTCCACCGGGGTACGAGCATTTCCGACCGGCGTGAATGCATGAAGCACAGTCAGGACGCGACCTATCACATCTCTTCTTCATGCCTCGACACCGATCGCACGCGGGGTGGGAGTTGCTTCTATTGTGACTGTTGAAGCTGGCGGGGTCTACTGAGGGAGAGCGAAGCAGACGAAATCGGTCACTCTGGAAGACACGACTTCTCTTGGTAATTTTGGGCGGCATGTTGCCGATGTGGAGATCAAAGGTCAACCTCGTGGGAGGGAGCGATATGGTAGATGAGTGGGGAGATAACGCCTGTCGCTATCAAGCGGGCGGATGGTGTCATTTGCCGCTGGTCGGACTTCTCCCGAACTACCCCGATTCGAGTCATGAGAGGCACAATGAGAAGTGCAGTAAAGTACTTAACTCGGGAGAAGAAGTGATATCTCTGCGTTGAAAACATTACCAGCCGTGTTCCTTCTCGGAAGAGAAGTTGCGCGACACCACCCTCGAGGTTCTCCACGTCGTCATGCATTCCCCCGACATCAACATTGCGATTGGTGAGAAAACAACAATTCACTCCTGGGTATGGCTCAAGTCAGATAGCTAACCATTGCACTTAGATCGCGGTGGCACATTCTGCGATGTGTTGGTCCAAATTGCAGGCCAGCCAGATCTCGTATTCAAGCTACTCTCCGAAGATCCAGCCAACTATCGCGATGCCCCGACCGAGGCCATCCGGCGTGCCCTGGAAACCATCGAGGGTCGTAGCATCCCCAAATCGGCCAAGCTAGACGGCTCACGCATTGCATCTTGTCGCATCGGTACCACGATCGCTACAAATGCGCTCTTAGAGGGCAAAGGCGAGAAATTTGCCTTCGTGGCCACCCAGGGCTTCCGAGATGTGTGCACCATCGGAGACCAGACTCGACCGAGGCTCTTCGACCTCAATGTCCGGAAGTCTACGCCTCTTCACCACAAGGCTGTAGAGGTCAACGAGAGAATTACGATCGATGATTATGATCTCAATCCGTTCCCGCTGGACGCTTCAAGGGCTATTTCCGACCCAGAACTGGTCCAAACGGCTAGTGGCGAAATCGTCCGGGTGATTCAGCCCCTAAATGTCGAAGCGGTTCGCGAGACCCTGCGCGAGCTGAAGGCAGAGAAGTATGACTCTGTGGCGATCGCATTCATGCACTCATATCTTCACCCGGGGCACGAGGAAATTACAGCCACCTTGGCTCGAGAGCTTGGTTTCAAATATGTTACTACTTCAGCTGAAGTCAGCCCTGCCATCAAGTATCTCCGCCGGAGTAACTCGGTGTGCTCCGAAGCATTTCTGTACCCGATCGTTCAACGATACGTCGCCGACTTCGAAGATGGGTTTTTTGTCCTACCACAACGGGTTGATTTTATGTGCTCCGATGGAGGACTGCGGTCATCCCGAAAGTTTCGAGGAAACGAAGCTCTCCTCAGTGGTCCCGCTGGAGGAGTGGTTGGGATAGCGAAGACATGCTTCGATCCTAGCAATCCCACTCCCATAATCGGCTTCGACATGGGTGGGACCAGTACTGATGTCTCACGATATGATGGAACTTACGATTACCTCAGTGAGACGACGATAGCCGGCCGCCTTATAACCATCCCGATGTTGAATATTGCTACAGTGGCCGCTGGTGGAGGGTCGATCCTCTTCGCCCGAAACGGACTGTTTGTGGTTGGTCCCGAGAGTGCAGGGGCACATCCGGGGCCTGCCTGCTACCGGAAAGGGGGACCTTTGACTGTTACAGATGCGAACCTCTTTCTGGGGAGATTGGTGCTGTCCTCTTTCCCCTCGATCTTCGGACCGAACGCCGACCAGCCGCTTGATTATGAGATTACGGCCCGCAAATTTAAAGAGATTACCAGGGAGATCAATGAGCAAACGGGGCAGACTCTCAGTCCGGAAGAAACTGCGCTTGGCTTCTTGAATGTTGCAAACGAGACCATGAGCCGCCCGATACGAAATGCCACCGAGGCTCGCGGCTTTCATCCCGAACACCATAATCTTGTGAGCTTTGGGGGAGCGGGTGGCCAGCACGCCTGTTCAATTGCCAGTCGGCTGGGTATCAGGCGCATTCTTATCCACAAGTATTCGTCAATTCTATCTGCGGTTGGTATTTCAAAAACGGAGTTGCAAGCAGAGGCCATCGAACCATCTGTTGCCACGTTTGATCCATCAATCCTTCCCAATCTGAACGTTCGATTCGCTGCCTTAAAAGATAGAGTCACGGATGAATTAGTATCTCAAGGAGCGAGGGTCGAGTCAGTGCGCTTTGATGAGTCGTTAAGTTTGAGGTATCAAGGGACTGACACTAATCTAATCATCTCCAAGCCGGCTGACGAGGAATACGGCGCCGCATTTCGAGAGACACATCGCCGCGAATTCGCCTTCACACTAGATCGGCCCATCATTGTCGACGCGTTGCAAGTACGTGGGACTGGTGGAGCCGAGGGATGGCAAGCAAACTCCGCGTCGCCTTTCAAGGCCCTAGACGAGGCCAAGGTCCACCGGAAAGAAGCTAGATCTCAAGGTTCGCAGAGAGTCTTCCTTGAGACCTCCTGGCAGAGGATTCCATACTATACTTTGGAGACCATTGGTCATTTCACCGTCCTTGAAGGCCCAGCGATTATTATCGACGCAACACAGACCATATTTGTGGAGCCTGACTGGGAGGCATACATTCTGCCCGAGCATATTGTTCTCGAGGCAATCGACCGCAAACCAGATGAGAGCTCTCGGGTAGAGTCCCAGAGCACCAATCCGATCCAGCTCTCCATCTTCTCCCACCGCTTTATGGCAATCGCCGAGCAGATGGGTAACACCTTGCAGCGTACCTCAATTTCAACCAGCATCAAAGAACGTCTGGACTTCTCCTGTGCCATATTCTCTCCAGATGGCAAGCTTGTAGCTAATGCTCCTCACATTCCCATCCACCTTGGAAGCATGCAGTACGCGATCCAGTACCAACACCGTCTCTGGGAAGGCAAGCTTCAACCGGGAGATGTTCTTCTTACCAACCATCCAGAATGCGGCGGGACCCACCTCCCAGATCTCACCGTTATCAGTCCAGTCTTCACTGGCGAGAACGGAACTCTAGCATTCTACGTCGCCTCGCGAGGTCACCACACCGACATCGGAGGCAAGGGAATCACAGCCATGATGCCCGACTCCAAGGAGCTCTGGGAAGAAGGGCTAAACGTGCAATCCCTCAAGATCGTGGACAACGGCGTCTTCCTCGAAGACGCAGTCCGAGCAGCATTCGAAGCCGCCGGCGACCACCCAGGCTGCAGCCCCAGCCGACGGATCAACGACAATATCTCCGACCTTAAAGCCCAGATCGCGTCCAACCAACGCGGTATCCTCCTCCTCCAGCACCTCTGCGACCAATTCACCCTCCCCACCGTCCACTGCCACATGCACGGGATCCAATCCAATGCCGAAGCCGCGGTCCGCCGCTTCTTCCGCACCCTGAGCGCCCAGCACCCCGCCCCGCTGACGGCAGTCGACCACTTCGACGACGGCACCCGCATCCAGGTGACCATCACGATCGACCCGACCACCGGCGGAGCCATCTACGACTTCACGGGCACCGGCCCGCAGAGCTGGGGCAACTACAACTGCCCGATCTCCATCACGCACTCGGCCGTCATCTACACGACGCGCTGCCTCATCGACGAGGACATCCCCTTGAACGACGGCTGCCTGGCGCCCATCGACATCCGCATCCCGCGGGGCTCGATCCTCCGCCCCAGCGCCGCCGTCGCCATCTGCGGCAGCACCCTCGCCAGCCAACGCGTCATCGACACTATCCTCCGCGCCTTCGGCCGGTGCGCCGCCTTCTCCGGCTGCGCCAACAGCTTTGGCTGGGGACTCGGCGGAAAGGATCCCGTCACCGGGACGATCACCCCCGGCTGGAACTACGGGGAGACTGTGGGGGGCGGGTGCGGCGCCGGCCCCACGTGGCACGGCGAGAGCGCCATCCAGTGCCACTCGACCAATACCAAGATCACGGACGCCGAGGTCGTGGAGAAGCGCACCCCGGTGATCGTGCGGCGGCATGCGGTGAACCGCGGCACGGGTGGACGCGGGAAGTTCCGCGGTGGGGACGGCGCCACGAGACTGATTGAGGCGCGGGTGCCCTTGCGGTTCAGTATTCTCAGTGATCGCCGGGTGTTTGCGCCGTATGGGATGGAGGGCGGCGGGGAGGGGTCTGTGGGGACGAACTTTGTGTATAGGTGGAATGAGGGGAGGACGGGGCATGAGAAGCTGTCGCTTGGGGGGAAGGCGGCGTTGGCGTTGGAGGCTGGGGAGTTGATGGAGGTGAATAGTCCGGGTGGCGGAGGGTGGGGATGTACTTTGGAGGGTGAAGACGATGTGTGATTCAAGTCTTTAACTATCGGAGCTTACCTCGCTAGACAGACTTCTTCCAGGTAGGTTACAAGATGCAAAAGGCTAGTGATAGCTTGCTATACTAGTCTATAACTGGAGTAATGCACTACTCTTGTGTAACCATACAAACAATGTCTTCACAACCAAGAAGTTGCGGTAAGAAGCAAGATATTTCTACCGCTAGGAAGAGGTCGGGAGCTAAGGGTCTGGCATCAGGAAAAGATGCAGGTTCCCAGGTAACTTACTGAACCAGCTACCGGCCTACTGGATAGCTTACTATTCAATCCCTCCACATTCCATGCTACATAGTGAATAATTTATTCTTAAAATCACTTTGGCTTTGTGTATAGCGAATCATTGGGGACTGTCGGTATTTCTGAGTAATCCAGCTATATAATTTGAAGCAGTCTACCACAAGACAGTTATGTGTATATAACCTCGTTAGTGAAAGCTAGGTACCAAAGACACAATTGACTTGTTCTACATGACCCATCCCCAGAGTTTATCAGTTGCAACGACCCAACATGCCCATGAGATAGAACTCACCAAGAGAAGCTCACTTCACTACTACTCAAACCCACCCGGTAATTGAAAAGATACAATCCTGAAACGCATTACAAACACAACGACCAAGACTCTAAATCTTCAGAGATCAAAAAGAAACCTCCAAGGGAACCTTCACCCAAAACAGAAAGAACACACCAAAGGGCAGCACGGCAACAACGAGACACAGCGAAAACCTCCTCCAAACCACACAATAACGCCCAAGTACAAATGCCTACCTTTGAAAATCACCAGTCCTCCAAGGCACCTTCCTCTTCCCAACCCAATAACGCGTGCATATAAAAATACTGCCCGAATAACCACCCCAGGGATCCAAACCCCAACAGTACTTGTACGGCTACCACACGAACAAGAAAACCTAAACACCACCCCACAAAAGTGACAACCCCCAACAGTCCAGTGAGTGACTTCCTCTAATCCTCATCTGAGAACGAGAAAATGACCGAGGAGATAGGCGTCGAGGTGATAGGCGTCGAGGCGATGCGCGTATTCTTCCACTCGAACCTACGCAAGCTAGCCACCCTCTCCCGCGACGCCCGCCAACAAATGGAAGTCCGCGTCAGGTGGGCCTATATACACGAGACGCCCCCGGACGTGGTCTGCGGGTTGTGCCGGGACCACGACCACAGCGACGCCGACACGCGACTCTGGATGTGTCCGATGAGGGCGTGCGGACGCAGCGCCTGGCATGATGCCTGCCTCGAAGGGATGTATAGAATGGCGGCAAGGGCCGGCCGCATGCTGGCGTTCGGGTGTCCGGCTTGTGGCACGGGGTGGTGGCTCCGGAGCGAGATGAGCGCGGAGGGGGCGCGGTTGCGCGAGGAGTGGGAAGAGTTCCAGATGCAGCAGCTGCTGCAGGGGGTGGATCAGATGAATATGCCGGTTGTGCAGAGTGTGCCGGGTGTGCCAGGTGTGCAGCAACAGGGTGTGCAGCAAGGTGCACAGCAACCGGACTTAGAGCAGGAGCGCCTTTTCCGCCACCTCCTCCATCTGTTCCAGCACTACCAGCAGAACAGGCAGCAGGTTTTAGAGCAGGAGACTCACCTCCGCCAACTCTACGAGCAGTACAAACTGAACAAGCAGCAGCAGCAGTACCATCAGACCCAGCAGACCCAGCAGAATTCGATGCCGCTGCTACAGTCAGAACTATGGGTTGAAGACACTTGAGAGCTACTGGCTGATCCTTGATGAGTTATTGTTTTCTCCTTATCTTGACGGTTGACCACAATTTCTTCTGGCTTGTAGTGTCAAATGAACTTCCATCCGTGATGAGAGAGCAGTCCTCTTCCTGGGTGAAATAGAAACCCATGTTGAAATTCCTTTCAGAGTAATAAGACCTATTTTTCTTTTTGCAATCGACCCCTCATAGTCAGTCAGTAATCACACCTCTAGACCATCCGCTCTCTAATTATACAGCCAGCAATTCACCTTACCAGGATATCTGTCACTCTCGACGTGCCCCTATTGTTTCTCTGATTTGGATGATGGTGCCAGTCTGATAGCCATCAGAAATTCTCCCCAGCAAGATTGGCTTCTGAGGTGGTTTCCTTCAGACCGCAGAAGTGCAACCAGCGCGACGACGAACCCGCCAACGGCCTATGCTGTGTCGTACCCGAAAACCAACTTAGCCAAAAACACAACAATGCACATGGTGACCAGCAGAGCTTACACCAATGGTCGCCTGCCCAAGATCAATTTTCTTCCTTGACTACTATAAGGCCTGAGATTTGGACTCCCTCAAGGCCGGGTTATCCCATTCTTTTATTTACCTCAGAACGTCTCCGTCCGCATCCGATTAGAGGTTCATTGCGTGTAGCGATTCTACCACGGCAGGCTTATCCACGACAATGTACAAGCTTCTCCCGTTCAAGAAAGTCATTCTAAGCTCCCAGGCTGGGATTGCAGAAGACGTGTCTCAAGAGGGGCAACGTGTCCAAGAGGCCCAGGTTGCGCGTCGCCGTAGGGTGAACCTCAAGGGGCCAACCCCAAGCTGGCAATACGTCGGTTCGTCGATGATCGGAAAGCACGCCCGACGAATGTAGCCATCCTCACCCTCCACCGACCCAGTTGCGGAGCATAAATCACTCTGACGAGGGTGAGATGTTGCAGTGAGACGGTCTACCTCAGCATACAAAGACACAACAGACCCATTGTCGACACTATACACACCATGACAGACGGAAAGGAAAAAAAGACATAATGGGACGAGCCGGGCTTGAACCGATCACCTCCAAATCTTCAGTGACACCACCAAGTAGACACAATAAGCCCAGGCAGAGAGAAAGGGCCAAAACGAAACCAAAAAGAATGGGACGAGCCGGGCTTGAACCGGCCACCTCCAGATCTTCAGTCTGACGCGCTCCCAGATGCGCCATCGTCCCGAATGATAAGAACGTTCCATAATTTTGTAGCTTATGGATGGAGACAAATGTATACCCGGTCCCTACAACAATAGCTGACGGGGGCCCAGGCGGGCCTTGAACCCACGGCCACCTCTAGGGACTTGACACGGACATCTCTCCCCTTTTGCTTCTTTTTGAGAGTATGCAAGAATTCCTCGAAGGGGTTGAATCCTTAGTACGATGTTGGTGGTTTGGCCGGTTCCCTTTGTTCTTTGCTTCCAGGGATACCGCGCGTATTTGGCGGTAAATCAGGTAGTCAACGCGACAGATTGTGTCGGAGATCCGTCAACCTGCATCACAGGGGAATGATATCCCAAATAGAGGATACTCTCGGTTACTTCCGCGTGACTGAGTATTTGCAAAAGGCAGTGATGCATGATAAGATTGAGTAACCATTGATGCCATTTTCCGCCATGAACTGCTGGATATAAGAGCGCTATCTCTGCTCGGCATAATGGTTTGAGGAATAATCATATGCCGGCGCCAGTGCTTTGTCTTCGTCTGCTGCTCGTCGTACGGGGACCAAGATATTTGGGGAAGGGGATGCCATTCTTGTTGGTGTGGTCCTTCCGGGAACTTGGGCCTCGATCAGAGTATAGCAGCTGATATGATGATGTCAGCCTTGTCACGGAAGACAACCTCGAGGCTGTGCTTTAATGTTTGCTTGGTGCGCCTACGATTCTCTTGGCAGTGGTGGCTGCACTAATGCAGGCATGCCTGATGTTCGAGACTGCCTGGTGTAAGAAGGGTATAAAGAGTCCAATCAGCCTTGTATCCGTTCGACCTCTTTAGCTCCCGATTCGCACCCACTCCTCAAACGCAGCCTCACAGTCACGAATGACATCAAGACCCAACGTCTGTCTCATTGAGAAAGAGAAAAGCCAACTCCAGTCGCTCTCGCGAGTGACGCCCATATACGTCAGCAAGAAGTCGCGGAGCCTTTGCAGAATCCCGTCTGCTATGTGGAGTAGGAACCGGTTGATGCGCGCCGCCCGCACATTGCGTGTTGTGCGTCCTTTCCGGACTTGTTCGTAAAGTTTCAGTATCGAAGCAACGCTATCTGCGGTAGACATCCCCTTTCCCTGGGACTCGGACTGCAATAGATGGCTCTGCAAAAGCCCAAGGAGTCTACCAATGACGGCTCCATCTTCAACAGCCATCGCCGCTCCTTGAGCCTGATACGGCAGGGTAGGATGACAAGCGTCTCCGAGAAGAGCCACTCGACCCTGTGTTTCAGTCAGCACCCTGTACAACAGCCAGCACGGGACCCAAACCTTCGTCCATGTAGGCAGCTCCGGGAGCTGGGTCAGCTTCCACTTGTAGACCGAAGTGACGCGCGATAGTAGCTTTTCCAATCTAGCAGCTTGTCAGTGCTCCTCCGACAAATCCCCAATTCGCACAATCCACTCCACAAAGAAGAGACAACATACGTCGGATCCCACCCAGCATAACTCTCGCGCATCTCCTGCACCTCCGCCTCCTCCCTCCTCCTCCCCGACGGCAAATCATCCGGCCGCAGCAGAACCAGATTAAACTCCCTCCCGCCCCGCACGGGGTAAAAGATAGTATGCTTCCGGGGCCCGAGGTAGCTAGTGACCGCCACGAGCCGACACAGCTCGTCCACCTTCTCATCCCCAAGCGCCTCAAGCTCCGTCCTCGGGATCACCGCCCGATACGCCAAATCGCCGGTCTCCTGGGGCATCGCGCCATCTCCACCGACCACCCACCCACGAACCTGCGACCAGAGTCCTACCCAGAGTATCAGCAACCCCTCCTTTCCCCTGAGTGAAAACCACAAAAAAAAAAAAAAAAAGAAAACAGAGAAAGACAAACCATCAGCCCCCAAAACCACATCCCCGGGCACGCGCTCCCCACCCGCCAAAAGCACCGCCGGACCCTCAAAATCCACCCCCTCCACCTCAACCCCCAGCCTGACTTCCACTCCTAGCCGAACAGCCTCCTCATGCAGCACGCGATGATAATCGGCCCGATGGATGATCAACCACGGCGCCCCGAACTCCGCGACAATCCCTGCCCCAAAGGGCATAGACCGGAGGATCTGGCCCGACGCGTAGCGACGGAAATCCACGTGCTCGAGGACTTTTCCCCCTCCCTCGTGCAGAAGTTTGGGGAGGAGGCCCAGATCGCGCATGACGCGCGTGCCGTTGGGCGGGATCTGGATGCCCGCGCCGGCGGTCTGCAGGTGGGGGGACTTCTCGAGGACGAGGACGTCGAGGTTTTGCTGGGTGCAGGCGATGGCGGTGGTGAGGCCGCCGAGGCCGGCGCCTATGATTATTATCCTCATGGCGTATTTAGGAAATGAGGTAGTGAATGCGGAGATTGTTGGAGTAGGATGGATGGAGAGATGGGAGGGATAGATGGCATGGCATGATGGGGGATGGGCGGACGGAGCGGGAGGGACGCTTGGACCACCCAGCCCGCTTTCCGCTTTTCCGCTCGGTGCAGGGGGGGTTTCGTGTTTGTTTAACTACTGTAACTAAAGTTACAGTAATGTACATCTTGTGTTGGTAAGTGACTTGCTGTATTTTTACTCAACACTTTATGAGTGGACGTGATTTAGACGGGACTCATTCGCTGTTCCTTGTGTTTCTTTTTTCTTTCGCTGTTATCTTCCTCAGTATGTTCTCTACTCTCTTTAATCTTGGCTATATATGCAGAAAGTCTCTTGCCAGCTACAAGCTAGCCAAATTCACCTACGTGTGGTCACTCTGCCGACAAAGAAACGAACGAAGTACGATTAAGCATGCGATTAGAATCAAACGGGAAAGAAAAAATAGGAACAAAGAAGAAGACACGGAGAGAAGGTCCCTTCTCCAGGCTGTTTGAGGTCAAATCCCTCAGCCATCACAGATCCTCAACCGCGCCCCCTCCCCTTCCAAACCATCCAATCTACGGCTAAGTAGCCTTTACGCCTACATAATAATGCAATGTAATGAACGGCCACTGCACCGTCCGGCTTCCACTGGCAAGCTTCCACCCAGTCACATCCACCACCGCCTGCCGCTGCAGCAGCGCCGAGATCTCCTCGGGCGTCCGCGTCCGCAGACACGAGATGAGCCCATCAACCCACAACGCTAGCGCTGTCACCGGCACCACATACGTGAAGAACAGATGCACGGGCGACCACCAGTACCAGCGCAGCGTCACGGCGTATGCGAAGAAGAAAACCAGCGGGGAGCACAGGCAGGTCCAGAGATTCCTGGCGGTGATTTCAAAAATCCTACTGAATGTCAGTACATGTTCCCCAGTTCAAACAAAAGATCAGGAGAATGGGTTCAAATATCATACACAAACGCATCCGCCTCATCCACCGCATTTTGCAAGATTCCTTGGGCATCCTCATCCTTAAAGTGGTGGAAACAGATGTTGAAGATGCGACACTCCTTGCGGTCTTTGGGGGTGTAGCGCGGGGCATCCCGTGCGTCCACGGCGGAAGGGATATAGGAGATGTTGGGCTGCTTCTTGGTGATGCCCTTCCAGGCTTCGAGATGAGGAAAAAGGTCAGTGAGTAGAAATCGGACCGGCTGGGCGCTGCTGTCGCTGCCGTCGGCCTGCTCGAGGGCTCGATTGAGTTCCCGTTCGAGCAACGGGGTGGGCCCGCCGGCGCCGGCGCAGAGGTCGACAAACAAGTACGACGACACATCCGGTAGATGCTCACGAATGACGGTGCAGGCCTGTGTGGCCAGGCTGCCGTGGCTCCATCCGGGGATGGAGAGGTGCCAGAGCTGCGTGAGGGTGAATTGCTCGTGTTGGTGCAGCCAGCCTGGGAGCCAGGATTGGTCGCCCAGTTCGTAGAATTGGATGCGGGGCCACTTGAACATTTCGCTTGCGCTTAAGGGAGGCTAGGGGGGAATGAACTTGGTATGGTCATGGGTGGGCTGGTGGGGAGGATGGAGAGATAATAAGCTTGGGGGATGGCGGTCTTCAGTGGGGGAACTCCAGCTGGCAGTGGTGCCTTCCATGTTTGTGGGGTTTGGTTCCGGATGCCGGATGGCGGGTTGGTTCATCCTGACGTGAGTGCCTCTCCCGCAGTGCCTCACCGCTTAGCATGATCGCACTCACCAGGTTTACTGCCTGTTTATTGAGTATGATGGCCAATTGTTATCCATACCAGGTCATTCAAACCGTTGTTGAGGAAAATCACAAAAAAAGCATCTGTAACATATTACAAGATAAGCTTTGGTTATGTATGGTACTTACAACGATGCTACTGGGTGTTTCCATACTAAGTTACACAGCGGACGGGAAGTAGAAGGATCATCCTTGATAAATGCACTATGCGATTAGCCACACTCCTATTGATGTAGAGGATTTACCTCTTGGTTGTTTCTCAAAGAATGTTTCCTGTTCCTGGTGAGTTGTTGTTTATGCATTTCACGCATAACAAACTGAACATTTACCAAAGTAGGCGCGAGTATGTGGTCAGTTATCCAGATGATGTCCTCACAAAAGCCTTCAGGCAAAACCAGATCTTATCAATTTCAGTCCTGATAGAATATCTAGATTGCTGCAATAAAAAACAAGAACCCCATCGCATGAAAAGGAAACAAAGGAAAGGAATCTAATCCAATAGAACACAAACACCGAGCCCCCGCCGAGTCCCCACCCATGCCCTGAACACCATGCTCCACCATCCATGATACCAATCACCAAATTGCCACCACATTGCCAACAACGCAGGAGATTTTTCCAGAGATGTAGGTTCGACTCTGCCTCTACGCAGCCAATTTCTCCAAGATCTCCCTCAGCGCGGGGTTGGAGCATCCAAACTGTTTCTCCAGCTCCGCGACCATCTTCAGCAACTTGTCCTCCCACGCCTTGATGGCGATTTCCGTCGCTTCCATCGCTCCGGACTTATCCAACATCGCCAAAACCTTCCGTTTGTCTTCCGGCTCCATTCCCCCCTTCCTGTGCTTGAGCCCGCCAAACAGCTCCAGAATGGGCTTCTTGAACAGGTAATTGATCTCGCAGCACAGCACCACAGGGTATGAAAACTTGCCTTCGTCGAGATCCTCGCAAAATCCTTTCTGGGCCGTGTAGGATGCATCCTGGAGGTTGCGGTGGTCATCGCGGACTTGGAAGTATACCCCGAGATCGTGCATGAAGGCATCACATGCTTCTATCAACGACTTCTGGTCCTCATCTGAGTGTGGGCTGAAATGGGTGTGGGGGTCAGCAGGAGGGACCGCAGACTCCGAGCCGGCAAGGCAGAACATCAGTCTCGCCACTAGCTGGAATAGAGCTCCGGTCTTGCCGGCGACCATCTCCAGGTATTGCTCGCGCGTTGGGCAATGATTCTCGCTCTTCCAGTAAAGGTCCCAGGATTGGCCCGTGAATAAGGTTTTAAGGCCTGTATGCATGATCTCTTGGGCTTGATGGGATTGAGCTTCGATGGAGAAGGGGGAGGAGGCGATGTCAGGAGTTATGATTTTGTTCTGAGCCTCAGCCTGGCCCTGCGCATAAGCCTCGGTATGAGCATGGGACTGATCTTCGGCCTGAGCTTGAGCCTGCCCACGAACCAAAAGGTCGACCTTACGGAGAGTCTCAACAATCATGAACGTCGCGGTGTTAGTGGACAGGCCAACTCCAAAGACCATGTGAGTGGAGGGCTGTCCTCGGCGCATGGGAGATTGGTCCTGGATATCGTCCAAGATGAGCGAGGCATTGTGGAGCTGACTGATGATCTCTGTTAGGCCTGCGAGCTGCGCTGCCGACAAATGAAACCAGACATTGAGAGCCGAAAGGAGCATTGCCCTCACATTCTTGCTGGGCAGGCTCGAGATGTACTCTTTTGGGGCGTCGAGGGCCTTAGTATCCTTTTCCATTTTGCGGGCTGTTTGCTCTTTGGGTGGGGCGTCTTTCGAGAAACCGTTAGACTTTGGAGTGTGCCCGTGGTTCTTGCTTTATGCGGATCTTCTGTAAGCTTTATTGTTAGCTGTGCGACCTGATTTGATGCATTTCTGCATGTGTCTGTCTTTGTTCTTTATGCGTTGGAGTGTGAGGTTTTGTTCAGGGCTTCATGGATGTGGGTGATATGGTTTATAAGATTTAGTTGGATGCTCACCTACTTGTAGAGATAGTTGCTGTGCAAGATATTCTTTTGTTTTTGTTGATTTCAATGTCCGCCTGACAGTCCTAATAATCCGTGTCAGAGATGCGCCTATCTTTCTTCTTTATGCGTCGGAGCGTGAAGTTTTGTTCAGGACGTTGAGGCTAGTAGTGAGGTCATTTGTGAAAGACTTAGATAGATAGGTACTTACTTGTAGGGACAATCCCTGTCAAGATGTCTGTTTAATGGACTTGATTATCAACCTGGTAATCTCTGTCAGAGATGCCACTGAACTTCTTAATGCGTCAGAACGTGATGTTTCGTTAAAGATTGTGGGAATATAGTTGGGGCAAGTTGCGCGATAAAAGTCTCGGATAAATGTATACTTACCAGTTGTGATCACACTGCAGCAGAGCTTTCTGTCAGTTGTGGTTGAATATCTACCTGATGTTATCTATCAGAGAGATCAAGGTCCTCAGGAGGAGTATGAGAACGAAATATCAAATAGACTGCTAGGATAGCAAGCGACACTGTGTAAAATGGAGAGACGATCGTGTTGCGATGTGTGGGAAATGTCTTTCAACCTGCAGCAGATACTTCCCATCGCCGACTAAGCGCAACCAAGCTGCACGCATTCACCGTCAGAAATTTCTGAGCTCAAGCGCACTAAGCAGGGAAAACACAGTTCGGCTATGAGCATGCCGGAATTTTCAAAGGCACATGACTACGACCAGGAATTTACATCGCAGTGGAAACAGAAAAAGCAAAAATAAGATAGTGTTTAATATAAGCCATTTTTCCGAGCATTCAGACTAATATACAAGTTCAGCAGATCTGATTTGAGGTAATCTAGATAATCTAGCTAGAGAGAAAGTAAGTGTCCTGCTTAGGCAGAGATGCACTGGTAGTAGTAAGGGTTGTAGTGGTAGCAAGTAGCGCCCTCAACGCAAGAGGTAGCTCCGGTCCAGTTGATACCACCGCACTGGCCGTACAGAGACTGAGCGGCACCGCTGCTGCTGCTGGTAGTGGTGGCACCAGAGCTGGCAGAGGGGGTCTGAGGCTCAGGGACGGCAGCAGGGGTGGTGGCAGCGGCGGCGGGAGGAGTGACGGTCACAAGGGTGGTCCAGGAGGAGGGCACCTGTACAGCAATCTGGGAGTAAGAGGAGCTGCTGCTGGGCTGGGCAATTTGGGTGTTGGCATTGGCGCTGGTAACGGCAGCGGCAGTGGTAGCAGCAGCGGCAGAAGAAGCAGCAGCGCTGGTGGTAGCCGCGGCGGCGGCGGAGGTGGCGACGGCGCTGCCACTACCGACAACAGCAGTTCCAGTAGAGGTGATGGCCGAAGTGGATTGGCTGACAGAGACGGCACCGCTGTACTGGGTGGGGCCGGGGACGGCGTAGGAAGACAGAGAGGCGTAGATGTTCACAACGATGCCAGCCTCATCCTCGGTGTAGAGCTTGGTGCCGAGGGTACCGGCGGGCTCGTCGGTACCCGAGCCAGTGACCTGGAGGTTGAAACACTGGGGGTAGTTCTGAGCACCATCTTCAGTGCCAGCGCTGTGGAGGGCGATGATCTCGTGGCGAAGAACGTAGTTGCCAGGAGCAATGGTCGGGGGGATCTCGACCAACCAGCTGTTGTTGTTGGCAATCAGCTGGTCATCTCCCCAGGTACCGGGCACTTCGGTGTCGCTGATGAGACCGACACCATCAATCTTGAAGAACTCAAGAGTGGTCTTGTCAACCGTCTCGCACTCACCGTCGCAGCGAGCGAGGTAGTCAAGGACAGGACCGTGGTGGGAATCGGGCCACGCGGTCCACTGGAGGTTGACCTTGTCACCAGCCGCAACGACAATGTGGGCCTGGGCGTTGGTGGCATTCTGGTGGCAGATGATGTCGTCGCTACCGTAGTCGCTGGGGGAAATGAATCCATTGCCAGTGTTAGGAGTGGTCCAGGCGGCCACCTTAGGAGGGTCGGACTCGTAGGGGAAGCTGTTGATGTCGAAGCCCTCATAGTAAACACCGTTGACGACAACATTGGTAACATGACCGTGTCCAGCCACACGGGTAGCGGACAGTAGAGCCGTCAAGAGGGACAAAGACTGAGCCTGACGCATTCTGTCGAGTATAGCGAAAATAGTTGGTGAAAGTAAAGAAAATTTGTTAGAGAATGAAAGTGATTGAGTTAAAGAATGAGCGACCCAGCGCAATGAAAGTGAGAACTTCAATCAATGAAGCCCGAAGGAAAGAATGTGGTAGAGGCGGAAGTAAAGAAGGATCTGCTGATGAAAAAGAAAATGTTCCCATCGAAGGGTGGTGAGCAAGGTGTATTTAAGCTGTTGAAGGCATCGGAGACGGATGGCGGTGATGGAGTCGCATAAACAACGGTCAGGAGGCTAGACCGGGGCCACTGCCGCACTGGGCCATTTCCGGAGGCGCCGGAGCAATTAAGGTGAGGGTGAAACTGTCGCATGGCGGTTAGGGCAAGGGGCAAGTGTTTTAGGTTGGCCGCCGATCGGGTTGAGAACGAAGCTATTCCCGCACTAGGGTCTTGGCTGTCGGAGGTAAAACATGCTGTTGCGGTGACAGCTCCTCGGCACGAAATTTCTGTCCGTTTCCGTTCTTCTTCTGCCGGTCGGATTAAACGCCAGGTGACTTGAATAATATGACACTTTGGTTGAGAAGAGAACTGGTGTTCACTCTGACTCACAAACCGTTCCATGAACTGCCGTGACGGTACAAACAGGCTGGCTAGCAGTGGAGAGGAGATTCGCATGCGCACCCAACAGTTCTCGCGGACTATGCCCTAGCTCCGAAGCTTCACACGACTTGAAATCAAGGTGGTCCCAGCTTCAACTAGATTGGGCGCTGTTCTGTGCCCCTTCCAGCCGCCAATCAAGACCCCTCGCCTTTTTGACCCAGCGCGGTTCCTGCAGTATACCGGTCCCTGCTAATTTTCCATTTCACCTCAGGCCCATCCGAGCACCCGAGTTAAGCCTCCAATTGCAATCAAGGTGACATGTGTAGTCTCTGCCACGCGAAGGTCGAGCCAACGGACTTTATCCGGCGTCGGTGTTTTACTCCCACAAAGTTGCCCCACAATTGACTCGGACACACCAGTGGACTTGTGTGATAGGCAAATATTCATGAGCCAGGCCATTGTCTGTGATATGATTGCGTATTGTGGCCACAGGTCTTGATCCGCATAATCGGAGGTCGGATTAAGACTGGTCGTTCAGGCATGCTTAACAATCATACAACTGAATCAGGTTCTTGCTCACTAGTGGAGTAGCCTGCCAGAGCCAAGTAAATGGTCAACTGTGCCGAATGTCTTCGGATCTTTAGTCTCAAGGACATTATCCAGACCTCCCTTTGACAATAGATGCATGCGGTCCCTGCATTTGGCTTTGACAAGCCTCTAACACAGAAATCGAATGTGCTCCGGAGTCGGCGTATCTGCAAACGCAGACCTAGTCTCGTTCTTATATACAATTTGTTGTTATGAAACTTCGACTCGGACAATTTGCGATGTTCGAAAGGCGGTTGATGACAGAGTCCTCCGTACAGACAAAGCAGAAGTTCACGGACCATGACTCGGGCGGCTAGGCAGGACAACGCACACTCTTTAGCGTTGAATTGAATAACAGGCGTCGAAAACTGCATGATGAGAAACTTACAGCTCAATCACGAGCAAATTGGTCGGTGTCCTTGGGAGTTCCATTGAGCGTCTACGCTTAAACGCCCAATTTCTTGACCAAGGATCTTGGCCTACGTGATGAATGCAGGGTATTCGAAGGAAGAAATTAGGCTGACAGAAAGACTCCTATCATGCTGAGACAGACAAGGTAAGAAAAGAAAAGAAGGACTTCGTGATCATAGAGTGAGAATCAGTGTTGAGGGAGTTTTGGACTACTAGCCTAGCGAAAGTCAGCAGAGTGTTTGACCTTCAATTTCAGGCTGGTCACTTGACTTTCGGTCACATGCTGATGCTCTCTTTCCCACCAACACACCTTCCAAAACGTCCTACACTGAACAATATACTTCTTCTCCCACGCGAAGTACGGTGTAGGCTTGGACTTCGAGGATATAGAAGCCATGGCCTTGCTCGTGGGAGGATGCGCATGGGTAAAACCCCAAGGTCTGTTCTACAACGTACACCTCAACTGATGTCGCTGCTTATCGGTCTGTTTCATACTGACCTCAGCTAGCCACCAGACTTACTCCCGTTCCTGTATAGCACAATCCTCCTAATCGAAGATGAGCGTTTCATCGGCCACGGTTCTCCTAAAGACCATGCGAGCCCATGCCGGTCGCCTGAACTTCAAAGATGCAACGCAGCGATTCCAAAGGCCGTCGGTACCGTTAGCAACTCACTCGAGCTGTACAATCGAACGAGCCTCTGCGGAACCGGGAATTGGATGTTTGTGTATACTGAAGCTCAAAGGCAGGGCAACCTTGGCCGGCAAGGTTGTTGCGCGTCATGGCAAGAAGTCCCATATGTATGACATGAGTCTTTGGTAGGGCTTTTGAGTGGCCTGGATATATTTTGCGCCCAGGCAGTATGATTTGAGGACGCTTCGGTACGATGTCACAACTTTAGTTGCTGATGAGCCGCGGTCGCCTGCCTTGGCATAGCTGTGGTTTGGGAGACACTCGACCCGAATATATATATACGAACCCTAGCCCTGTACCACAACCATAGTATTCGCACAGTTCATACTTTGTTGAATTGATCAAGAGCAAAGATCATGTTCACCGCTTGCCGCAGCGTTCCCTCACTGGCCAGACCCGATGCAAGCCGACGACTTCGGCATCTGAAATACGCAGCCCGAGATTGTGTCACAGCCGTCATCTCCCATGTGCCGCGTCAAGCCTGCAGGGGTATCCGCCAACCACGGCACTGCACAACCCAGCCCGCGGGCTCCACCAAAGCCTGTTTTGGAGGATTAAGTCATTTCAGCCTTATGAGCGTATGACATCACGGCCAGGGGCACCCCACATCATCTCTGCTCAATGTCAACAAGCGCTACTTTTTTTTTATTTCTCCTTCTCCCCTACTCTTCTCGTCCTGTCAACAAACATCGTCCTCACAGGACAATTTCAGAAACCGACACACACTGTGCATTATCCTCCACAATGGCACCAGGCAAGCCCTCCGCCATGCAATACGAGATAGATCTCCACCAACTGCCTATTGTCGAGACCCTCCCCACCTCACTAGAGGGTACGTGCGCCCGCTGTCTCCATGACCACCGGGCCCCTCGCTGACCAGCCTAGAAGACAACCAAGAATGCATCATCTGCCTTGAAGACCTAGATTCCATCAAATCGTACCGCCAATTACCCTGCCAACATTTCTTCCATCAACCATGCATCGACGACTGGCTAAAGCGGCCGAACCCAAGCTGCCCGATCTGCCGACGCACATTCGAGCACCTGCGCCGACCCTGCAAGACCTCCACAAGCCATGCGCCCGCTGTCGTCAATAACAGCTGGGCCACCGTCAGTCCTCTACCGCGATACTTGCTGGTCGTGGGACCCAGCCCCGCAGCTCCCGATCTCACAGTCCCGGTCGTGCGTGCGGAGCCCCGAGAGCCCCCGCGACAGTCGGTCCGGGCGTGGTGCAAGAGAAAGTTAAAGGTTGGACGTGTTGCTTGAGCGGAGCAGTGCTATTGAGCTTGCTGCGGCTGTGGTAGCCTTTATGGCTTTTTTTTGCTTATTACGACATGGCGTTCGGGAGGCTATGATTACGATTATGATTGTTTTCCTGTTCGGAATGATGCGTTGATCCACATTCCTTTGATTCCCTGTTTCTTAACCCGTTAGATTCCCACTTGTGTTCAATCCTATTCTGATGAAAGTTCTGGTCCGAGATCCAGCCACTAAATCACGACTCCTCACTTGAGCGGATCCATTCTTCTTGTTCATTGACACTACTGTCAATACAATGTGGATCCCAACCCGCAATACATTGGGACGCCGGAGAATTTACCCGTCGACATGTCTGGAGGCAAACGACATTCCTGGAAAGGCAAGGGGGAAGTAGAATCCGGTAGCAGATACATGATTTGCCCGCCTCCTATTCATATTTATACCCAAATCATCGGATTCCCTCTCAAAAGAATGGCTGGCGGAGCGGCTCAATTGACTTCACTCTCACACTCAGGGGGGCCGACCAGCGCACCATGTCCCGAGCGCGGACCAACTCCGCAACGCAGCAGCCGGACCCAACAATCACCACCAACACCACCAAGCAACTTCCCAATCCACCCAGCCCACCGACTGCAGCCATCTTCGACGCGGAGAAGCAACACGCGCAAGCACAGTCTACTTCGCAATGCATCGACGACCCGCCCCCGGACGGCGGCCTCGCAGCATGGTCCGTCGTCTTCGGGGCGTGGTGCGCCATGTTCTGCAGTTTCGGCTGGATCAATAGTATGTCTGCCACACAGTTGCTATATCATCATGAACACCCCCTCAGCTCGCAACCACAGCGACAGCTAGCTTATCTACTGACGTGGGGAAAAGGCATAGGAACCTTCCAAACCTACTACGCGACCACGCTCCTCCCCCAATACGCACCGAGCACGATCGCATGGATCCCGTCCCTAGAAGTATTCTTCATGTTCTTCATGGTTCGTCTCGTTTCCCCCTCCCTTGCCCCCTCTAATCCAGCCTGTCTGCCCGCCCAGCCCCAACCCTCTCACCCACCTACTTCCCTCCACTAACCAGAACCCAATCTCCCGCAGGGCCCGACAGTAGGCTACCTAAGTGACACGCACGGCACGCGCCCCGTCATCCTCGCAGGCTCCGCCCTGCACATCATCGGCCTCCTGATGACCTCCCTCGCGACCCAGTACTACCAGATCCTGCTGGCGCAGGGCGTGTGCAGCGCCATGGGCATCTGCGCCATCTTCCAGCCGGCCATGAGCGTGATCCCCTCCTGGTTCCGGCGGCGGCGAGGCGCCGCGTACGGGATCATCGCGTCCGGGTCGAGTGTCGGGGGCATCGTGTTTCCGATCATGACGCGCAGGCTGGTGGTGCAGGTGGGGTTCGGGTGGGCGATGCGGGTGGCGGCGTTCTTGATTCTGGGGTTGTTGGGCGTGATGTGTTTGACGATCCGGGACAGAAGTGCGAGGAGGGGGCGCGGGATGGAGAGGGGGAATGGTGGTGAGGATCCAAAGAGAAAGAAGGTAGATCGCGAGGCACTGTTCCGCCCCTGGCGGGAGGTCAAGATGCGCTTCCTCGTCGCGGGGTTCGTGCTGCTCACGTTCGGGGTGTATATCCCGACCAACTTCGTCGAGACGGCTGCGATCCAGAGCGGGATGCGGCTGGAGCTGGCGCAGTATGTGGTGCCGATGTTGAATGCGGGCAGGTATGTAATCGCGTCCGATCCTCCGGTCACAGCAGCAAGACAAGGACGATGCTAATAATCGCCGCAACAGCCTCCTCGGCCGCATGGCTGCGGGTTTCCTCTCCGATAAAGTCGGCGTGTACAACATCTTCCTGCTCGTCTGCACCATCACCGGGATCCTGATCCTCGGGCTCTGGATCCCGGCCACGACCGACGCGACAAATATCGCCTTCGCGGTGCTATACGGCGTCACATCCGGCGCGTATTTCTCGCTTCCGCCGGCCCTTGTCGCCAAACTGGCTCCTCTGCCAGAGATCGGGTATTGGACCGGGGTGCTCTACCTCTTCTCGTCGATTGGAGGTTTAACCACAAACCCGATCGCGGGGGCAATCTTGGCGCAGGACAATGGGTCTTATACGGGGATGAAAATCTTTTCGGGTTTGCTCTTGCTGGCGGGAACGATGCTGGTGCTGGTGACGAGGATTCGACAGACCGGATGGGCTTTGAAGGCCAAGTTCTAGGCTTGGATAGTGTGCGTGGCTTGTGCGTGTTTGGTTTAGCTTTGATGTATCTGGCTCGAAGTAAAAAGTGTTCTCTTGGATATTGAGCGGATGGTATATACAGTTCTCTCAGTGGTATCCGCCGGCGGATCGAACAAGCATGCTCCGTTCCCTTTTGCTGGCCAAGCCAAATCTGTTCACTCGGCGTTGAGCAAACCACGCCCCTGCATTACCCCTGTAGATTGCGCCTAGTTGAGTAACAGAGCTGAAATATCGATCTGATGAACAGGTCCTTTCGAACTACGCTACCTGAATGTTGGAGCCAGCAGGTACTGTTAGTCTTGTCGGGATAGAGGAATGAGTGTAGAAATGCATGAGCCAGGCCATGGCGCTCGAGAACTAAGGGGACCATTCAGCAGAAGCATCCACGTCGACAGATATCCTCCTGGAAGACGACGCAGGTCGAATTTCGCAGAAATGTGAAGAAATTCAAGAGCGACCAGACATCTACACGCGGACGAACTATTTTAGTCAAGGTTCTGGTAGATGGAAACCAGACTTACCTATCATAGTTACCCACAGCTTGAAGGTAGAAGCATTTTCAGAAGTTGGGCCCACATGGGGACAATCGAGCATTCCGTATCATCATTGTTAATGTCGCAAATACCTTGTTCAAAGTACCGCGAATGACTGTTGTTACCGGTACCTCTCATATGAGTCAGCGTTGCGTGGAAAGAGCCAATCGCGTAAATGAAATCTTGCGCAGGGTTAGATGGGATGATCCGCGGATTGTGAAAGCAAACGACAAGCATAGATGGAAAGCTTACGGAATATCGCGGCCCAAAGGTGACGATCCTCCTCGGTATTTGTCCCGGTCCGAAATTCCTCGAATTTGCGTCGAAGTAATCGTGTGGGGATGAAGGGGTACAAGATATGGATTGTCTCCAGGAAGACCTTCATATACCCGTCCTCATCATCCCGAACTTGCAACTCTCGCGTCCGAGGTCGGTGGTTCTCATGTTTTCAACGACGAAGTTTGGTTGCCTCACAACAGGGTCGGAGGGTGCATTGTCGTGGATGATTCGGACGCTGGCATCTAGAACGCCTTGCGTGCTATTGTCTAGCCTGGGACGAAGACCATCCACCAATGCCTCATAGTCCCGCAGGGTTCGGTGATAGCTGATGTGGTCAAGTTGCAATAGCGGCTGTCCTCTGAGCACTGTCGGCTCTTGCGACGAGCTGGCTCCTGACGCATCAACGTCGCTAACGCGTGCGACTCGCTTGTTTCGCGTCATCGACGAGGTGCCGACATCAGTGGACTGGCATTGGGCACATTGCGACAGCAAACTTGGTCAACTCGGTTGTCTCGTAGCTATCAGCAAATTGGAGCAGATCTTAGCACCCAGCGCGTCGCATTGGTTGCAGCTCGTCTACGCTGACGCTTCATTCTGTTTTTCTTTGCGGCGATGAACGTGGCGGACGCGTCGCGATAACGCACAACCCCGCTTTCCGTAGTCAGGTTTCTGCCTGGCAGAATCGGCCCCCACGTTCAGGCGATGTCCGCCTCATTGACCGCCCTTTACGCCGTCGGTGCTGTACGGAGACTCCTACGGAGCACTGAAAACAAATGTCAGACTGTACAATTTCTTATACCTGAATCCCATTCTTTTAGACACTTGGTACATCGAGAAGAGAAGTACTCGAGCGGCTTTGGACGTCAAAATTACACGTGGAATGTCAATCATTGCTTCGACATTAGATACTAGAAATTCAAGGCCCCGGCTCAAGCCCACAGAATATATGAGTTCATGGTAACCAGCATCAACAAACCCCAATACTATCACCTTCAACCTGTCCAGCGACCTCGACATTACCCCTTGATTGCCACTCAAATGCTAAGCACCAACCCCCATTCCATCACAAACCATAATCCGCTCAACTGCCCGAGCCAAAGCCCCTCCAAGGTCTGCAGCACGCGCGGCATCGCAGAAGCTATCCCAGAACATCAAATGAGCTTCAATTCGGTCAGATAGCACTGTGGCGGCGACAACCATGTCATACTGTTATTCACAAAGTATGTTAGCAAGTCATAGTCTACTCATAGGGAGAGGGGGTTGTTACCTCAGTCTCTTCAACTGTTTCCAGCACCATGAAAAAGCTATCCATCGGCCCGGTCTGATCGGTAAGCGGCTGCTCAACCGACAGGCAGGTGTTGAATAGGGACGAGGGCGCTCCGGATTCCTTTCCGCCAAGGACCCGGCATGTGACTTCACTCAATGAACAGAATTGGTGGGACGCACGTTCCCCCAGTGATCGGTGACTAGCCTGCAGGACATGGTTGAGAACCTGATGATCGGGGCCTGATTGCAATACAATGCGACAGGCAAGGACGTTGAAGAACGAGCCCACCATGCGGCCAATATGAGGTACGGGTGCATCGCGGCCGGATACTAGAGCTCCAAAGCAGACGTCGTCTCGGCCCGTTTGTTCGCTTAGCACAAGCGCCCAAGCAACCTTTATCACGTTGGTGATTGTTATTCCCCTCTGGTCGCACCATTCGCGCAGGGCGCGGGTGTCCTGAAGAAGCGTTTGGCGGTGGGATCGCATCTGTCGACGAAATCCCCTGATAGCAGCCTTCCTCTCGTGATTCTGGCTACGTAAAAGCGGCCCGTTGCTGTCGTGCGCAAACGTACCGGCCAGCATACATGGGTGAAGACTGGCCAGATAATGGTCCCAGAAATGTAGATGTGAGGGGTCCTTAGCCCAGCTTTGCTGATACGATACCCATGAAGAGTAGGGACAGGCCGCTACATCCGCGAGCGGAACACCTTGTAGAGACCTTCGAAGATCTGTCAAGAGCATACTGACTGAGGTCGCGTCGAGAAAGGCATACCTTCCCTCGAGCTTGCAGAGAACCCTCCCAGTTGTGCTCTGGAAAACTGTGAACTTGTACGGAAGTCCTTCTTGGTTGCAGCTCGACAGGCGAGGCCGTCCGGCAATCTCCGATATAATGGCATCGTCTATGTTGGTCAAGACCTCGACAGCATCGAAGGACTCCTTGAGCACGATATGAAGCATCTGTGCTGGATTCGACCGGCTGGGCAGCAAAAGGGTCCGCAGTGCTGCGTGGTGTTCAACAAGCTTCAACCAAGATTCGGCTAGATGCGTAGGGTTGATCCGCTCATCACACCCCCCGACCTCCCAGATTGTATGTGATTGGCAGCTGCCCAATTGAGAAAGAAGCCCCAGATGCGACAGGGTGCAGGGAAATGCATCTTCGATTGCCTTTCCAAGCGCTCCCCTGTTGACGGTCGTAAATATGTCTTACTCAAAGGATGTTTGGCTTTCATACATCGGCTCCAATAGAGAAAACTTTGCCAGTGCCGTCGATTGAGGATGCTGCACTGGGCGACCCTTGACCATCAAAGCTAGGGATCTGAGCGTCGGGGCCTGAAAGATATCTGCAACCGCCACCTGTATACCGTCCAGGTTGCACTGGGCAGCGAACTGCATGGCGACAAGGGAATCACAACCAAGGGTAACCAAATTATCTTCGATGGGAATATCGCTAGCCTTCAGCTGTAGTACTGTCGCTAATGCGTGTCTTAACTTCACCTCGACGGGCAGTAAGACGTCGCCAGCTATGGAACCCGGCGAAGTCTGCCATGAGATTAAGCCTGCCCAGGTGAGCTTGGCGGCAGCCTCTCGTGCACCAGCTCGATCGAGGAGAAGGCGAGTCACAGATGGCTTATATCGAAGGGACACCGGAACACAACAAAAACGCACGACTTTCCCAATGAACCTTTGTTGTAGCTCACGCACAACCTGGATCAGACGAGCACGCAGCGGCTCTTCTACCTTTGCCAGGACCGAACCATTATTTGACAATGAATCTGAGCTCACAACTCCCACGAAAAGCGCGAGATCAGGGATATGAGAACCCCGTGGTGTAACCCAGTCCGCAATTACAGGGATGCCGGGTCCGAGGTATTCACCAGCTGCTTTTTCCAGACGGGCCAAGGAGACGCTTTCGTGACGGCTGTAGGTATAATCACATGCCGGTAGAGTTGTTTTGAGGAGCTTCCGTAGTGGGGCATCAGGGTATCGTACAAGAAGGCAAAGTATACGATTCATGCCTCTCAGCATGTCTGTGACCTGGTGTGAGGATAAGACATTTCGGTCGAAATATGCCGTTGTTTCCAACTGATCAGCTCCAGGTTCACAGACGACACTCAGGGCTTGAGTGCTGAAGCTGGCGTACAACTTATGCTTCCAAGATTCGGTCTGATCCATCATCATTAACTGCAACGAATTCTTTCTGGCCAGGGGAGTCTTTTCTGGCGGTGGTTGAACAATCAGCATGCTCTGGAACTCGCAAGCGATGGCGGCCTCGCAGCTGGACTGTCTGATCTGCTGCATCCCAGTCTGCTCGAAGGATGCGAGGCTCACGGCTTGGTCATGAATACATCTCAATGTCTCACTGACATTGCGGTCATCGTGAAGTGTGATTCGAAGAGGATAAGTAGCGATGGTAGGGCCGTTAACGTCAACAGTGCCAGGCATGCTGCGGCCCATGACAGTGACGCCGAAAACAACGTCCAAAGAACCGGTGTACTGAGAAAGTATCATTGCCCATGCTAGGCGAATCAGCGACGACGTTGTGGTTCCCAACTGATTAGGATTGGGGAGACGAGATCGTCTGCGAGTCCAGTTGATAGACGGATGCTTCGAGCGCGCAGGGCTCTTCTTAGAAAGAAGCGGGACTGCATTGAGACCGGCGAATTCCTTCTTCCAGAAATCGGAAGCTTGAGGCACATTCAAATCTCCGAGATACTTGATAAAGGGTGCAAATAGTTGCGAGGGAAGAGCCTCTCCTTGATATGCAGTTTCAACCGTCTTGAGGATCTGCTCGAAGACGACCAGATCGAACAATGAGTGATGAATGACGACAGTTAACGTAGAAATGAGCCTCGCACGCAGAGCAACCAAATAAACAAGTGGGGAGCCAAATGACATGACTCTTTCCGCCTCACGTTCGCTTTGTGTCTCCGCCTCAATCCATTCAATGTCCCTGTCACGGACTACAACTTGAAGAGGATTTTCGACGCCTAATTGCCATGCATGGATAATTCTGGTGCGCAAAATCGGAAGAGAACCCGCTGCGCGATTTCACGCCGATCGTAGTCGGTCTTTGTCGAGGTCTGGGGACAATTGGAAAGTGAACCGCCCCTGAAAAGCGCCTGGCTGCTTGATAGTTCTGGCCATCAGGCGCGCCTGAAGCGGCGAGCATGGGTATATGTCCTCAATCTGTGGCTCATCCACATTACAGTGCTCCGCTGCGATCTGGATATAGGCGTCCACCTTTTCTGGGCTCAAGAGCGAAAACGGTAGAACATGTCTCGGTACGCCGGAATCACTGGAATTCTTCTCTGGGGCTTTCGTCTGGGCACGCCGTGCTAGTTCAGAAAGATTGACGGTTTGAAAAATATCCGCGACGGTGAAATGCAGAGATGGTATACTCTCGGATTCTTGTGCGAGCATCATGGCGGAAATGGAATCACCCCCAAGCTGAAAAAAGCTATCGTGCTCACTAATATCACTCGCATCGAGTGATAGAACACGCGCAACCAAATCGATCATTTGCTGAGTGGCCTCTGACGCAGCAGGATCGTGATGGCTTGCCTTGGAGGATATAAAAGGCGCCGTGGGCTGGTACTTTTTGACTTCTTCCCTAGACCAGCTAGAAATCATCGATCGCAACGCCTTCCTGTTCACTTTACCAGTCGGGGAAAGAGGAATGGCGCACAAGGGCACCATCAAGTCCGGGACCATGTAAGGCGGGAGTATCTGTGCAAGGCCTGTTTTAGCTCGAAGGGCACTCGGCCAGAATTGATGGCGATCTTTATTATGAGTCGCCCAACAGCTGTCTTTGTCCTTGCATCTTATTTCTTGCTTTGATGAATCCCACTCCACGAACACAACCAAACTCGAATGGCCATGATAAAGCTTGCCAACCTCCACAGCTATTGCAGCACCTGGAAAGAACTCGGCAGCCTGGTGTTCGATCTCCCCAAGTTCAATTCGTTGCCCTCGCAATTTGACTTGAGTATCTTTGCGGCCTAGAAATGACACACTCCCGTCAGTCCTTTGGCGCACCAGGTCCCCAGTCTTGTAGAATCGGCTGTTCTCTGCCCTGTGCCAATGAGGATTTCGAATGAAGTTAGCAGCCGTTTGTTCGGGCCGATGCAAGTATCCCCTGCCCACAATGGGCCCTCCGATTACCAATTCGCCCACGGCACCAATAGGGACCAATTTGTTGTGATCCTCAGGTTCGACGACCCATACTGAACCGCTACAGGCCCAACCGATGGAAAAGGGATCAGCATCTTTGGTAAAATTTGGATGCACGAGCGATACCACCGTGCATTCCGCAGGGCCATACGCAACAGCTAGACGGAGATGTGGCGCCCAACGGATGACCTCTGAAGGCGAAATAGACTCGCCACCCACGACCAGGGTCTTGACGGCGGGAAGTCGTTGGGGGTTTAGGAGCCGCGCGACGGATGGGGTCAGCTCCATCCAGTTGACCCGTAGCTGGAAAATGGTATCTTCTAGACAATCGACTCTGTCGGCAGCCGAGGGAATGCACACACATCCTCCAAGCATGAGGGGCACTAGAGTTTCATGAATGCTGACATCAAAGGCGTAAGAGGCAAATTGAAGCACGCGGGAAGACGCGTTCAGATTTTGCGCTTCAGAACTGACCATCGCATTGGTACAGAACGAACCATGTTCAATGACTATCCCTTTTGGTTTTCCTGTGGACCCAGAAGTGAAAGCAACGTATGCTGCGTTACCTGGCTTGACCTGAATCTGCGGCGGATAGTCTTTGCTACGACAGAGAGCTCCGTTTTCCATGTCATTGGGTACTGCGATGACGATGTCGGCCAGCTGCAACCCGACCTTCTTGTGAAGCTCAGAGGTTAGGACAACTTGAGCACTAACATCCTGGCAGATGTTTTGAAGCCGCTCCAGAGGATGGGACGGTTCCAGCAGAACAAAGGCGGCTCCGGCCCTAAATACTCCGAGCATGGCCACAACAGTCCACTTGCTCTTCTCGAAAAGCACAGGGACAATTCTTTCCGGTCCAGCACCTTGTCGATTCAACAGACTCATAACCTTGGCTGATTCCTGGTCCAAGGAGGCGTAACTCATTGCACCGTCCCAGGCATTTATTGCCTCTGCATCTGAATTTTCGATGCATTTGTCCTGAATAATGTCATGGATGCATTGAACAAATGGCTGTTTGAGGATGTGTCTGTTCCAGTCACAGATCTGGCGATAATGATTGTCGGGAGTCAAAGTAATGCTATGCAGTAGCTCGCTTGGATGCGCTGATGTAGATTGAAGGATATGCTGCAACGCGGTGCTCAAATATCGAACTGAAGATTTGTCGACGAGGTCCGCTTTACCATACAAGGAGATGCACGGCCATTCTTGCTGTGTTGCCACCAGCAAGAGCTGAATGCCATGATCAATCTACAACATATCAGACCGGGCCTTGTAGGTGCGAGTGGTGTTGAAGCCGGTAGCACTTACAGAACTTTTCCAGTCAGTCAACCACTCCGGGTGTAAGTTAGTCGCCACGCATGTGTTGATCCGCTCTTTGTATTTCCACTCATGGAGTTGACATTGCATCTGACATATGAGAGAGACAGAGTCTGACAATCACCCGGCAGGATTTAGAGAAGCTTCATATTCATCAACCGATATCTCATCGCAACCCTGTTTGCCCGTCGAACCAGACAAGGCACCGAAGCGAAGTGTATCAGAGCCTGTATACTTGGCTAGCACAATGGCCCACGACTGCATGAGACTCTGCAGCAACGAGCCGGCCGAAATTGTGACTTCCCATTCAAACTTATCCCAGAACACAGTTGCTGATGAGCTAGTAGAAGAGGCGATGCACGGGAAGAGGCACGACTCAACGCCAGGGGACCTCATCTTGCTTCCACACATCCTCTGTTACCTTGCGGTTGGTCTTTTCGTCGACGAAAGTTTTGAAATTTAAAGTCTTTGCCATTGACCTCATTTTGTTAGTAGAGGTAAGGATCTCAGTGACTAAGGATAATCATGGTTCGAAAAAAGCAAAAGGCCATCTCAATCACACAAGACGCGCCCAGGCCCGGCAAACTTCCATAGTGTCGTATGGCGCAGCTGTATCTCAGGTGGAGAAAGCTGTGGCAACACCATACTTCATCACTTCGCCTTCTACCGCCGTCGGATTTCCTAGTTGGGTGTATGGGACATGCCGTGAATTGCAGCCTAGATGACGGCTCATGCATTGCGCGTCACATCAGTTCGAGTAACTTCTGCGGCTGGATGCTGCACATGGGGCACGTGGTTAATCATCTCCTTCATGTCTACTTCGGCGTAACTATATCAAGAGGAAAGACGCAAATCCTTACTCGATATGGACATCGCAATATAATACACTATTGATACAATCCGTCCCACATTATGCATGTTTCTGTAATTTTCAAACGAGCTGATTGTCTTACCTTGATTCTATCACACTGGAGTTTTTGTTTCTCATGCCGGTGGTGGCTTGGACCTAGTCATAAAGATTGTCACTGCCGATCGGGGAGCGCAGGAGCGTCCAAATCAATTCACTCATCACTCGTTCTCCATATTCTCTTATCTTAAACAAGATGGCGACCATGGAAATCAAAGGCATGGGGCAAAATGACCCCAACAAATTGAAAGTGGTCATGGGTGGGTCTCGGGATTGCAGGGCTGAGTGTTGCTATCGAATGCCATAGCAAAGGGCACAATGTTGAGGTTTTTGAGAAGTATGAGGGGCCGAAAGAGATAGGTCAGTAGCTGATCCAAGGACGTCAATGGCGGCGAATTACTCGTTGCTTGACTGCAATCACTGACTACCGGTCAACAGAAGGAGATAGCATCAGCATTGGCTCCAACGGAGCTCGAGTGACTGCCAAATGGGGTGATGGTGCCTTCCACGAATCGATCCGCCCGTTGGAGTTTCAGACCAACAGAGCCAAGGTGTTTGATTATACCGGCTATTGTTATGGCACGTTCGAGCTCCACGGGTACAACGAGGGCCGTGGTTATACTGTCAACCGTGGGGCATTGGTATCCGCCATGCACCAGTACGCCCAGAGTCTTGGCATTCCCATCACTCTGGGCTCAGAAGTCACTAAGTACTGGGAGACGGAAGACGAGGCTGGGATTGAAGTCAATGGGAAAAAAATCTCAGCCGACTGTGTCGTCTGCGCAGAAGGAATCCATAGCCAGGGTCGACTGAGCATCACAGGCCAGCAGATGAGCCTCCAGGAGACCGGCTACGCGGCTTCTCGAGGGTACCTGGATGCTCGGGTAGCAGCTCGCAATCCGAGTCTGAGTTGGATTCTCAGTGAGGAGCAATCGGGATCCGAGGACTGCATCTATGGTTGGCTTGGACCCGGAGTTCACTTCGGAATCACGACCAAGAAGAAAGACAATGAACTCTTCTGGTACTGCTCGCATAAGGTAGGCGACTCATTGATTGCGTCCAGTCTCGGGGACCGCATTGACATGATGCTGCATCTACAGGCTGCCAGCACTCCGTCCCAGAGCGACGATGAAACGATGAACCAGATTCTGCAGTGCATGGATGGCTGGGCAGTACGAGATCAACTCGAGGCAGTCATCAAAGGAGTAATGAGCGGTCGGTTCGTCTCAGAGAATCTAGCCATTCGCACTCCTTTGACTACCTGGTTGTCTCCCAAGCGCCGGATGATCGTGGTCGGTGATGCGGCGCATGCAGCGCTCCCGTCCAGTGGACAGGGGGGTACCCAGGCTATTGAAGACGCCGCCACGCTTGCGATCGCCCTTGACTTGGCGGGAAAAAAGGATGTGCCGTTGGCGTTGTCAGTGACGGAGAAGATCCGGTACCAGCGTGCTCAGATTGTGCAGCAGGGTGGCCTGGCGGTGTTACAGTTCGTGATGAATCATGTCGATTTCGACGCGTTGCGGCAAGACCCCACGATGGTGAAGCCACCGCACCCGGCGTGGGTTCTGGACCACGACTGCCAGGAGTACGCTTTGAGGGAGTTCTCGAAAGTGGCAGAGGCGGTGCGAAGTGGCCAGGAGTATGTACCTCACAACATCCCTAGTGATGGGCAATATCGGATGGAGTACGATAGTAAATAGGAAGATGGAAGCGGAAGTGGGGAAAGGAGGAAGAGGGAGCTGCGAGGCGGAGGGGGAAGGCACAGCCCATGATACTGTACGGTACTTATGATACCGTGCAGTACTGCCCACACAATATTACCGGTAGATAGCCCCACCGCTGAATACCTCGACATACGATACGGATCTATCTAACCAGCACTTAGTTTAAAGTATCATAGATGCAGATTGGAAGACTGCTCTTTCTGTTCTTTGAGGTCTTAGGTCTATCCTATGAGCAGATGTCCTGTATATTATGCGCACCAGAATGCTTGAAGTCACTTACTACGTAGTTAGGCGGTTCTGAAATAGACCTACGACTATCATCATCTACGGTAACTACGGAGTACTGTACAGTACCTAGTATACACAACCACAATCATCCAAACCACTTATCTTGCCCAAGTCTTCGCGACATAGGATGACACAACCGCTAAATACACGTGAATGTGATATTCTCTGAGATCTTCCATAGTTTCAATGAAGACTTTCTTGAATTCAGTAAGGTAGGCACAGTACCCTTCAGCCCTTCAAGGTAATCACCTCTTAACCTTTCTTACAGCTATACCCAACAATATGCTCTACAGTCATTAGCGCTATTATCGCAATTGTATACAATCAATGAAGAAATGAAAACCTCCTATAAACCTCCTGCTCATCTCAAAGAACATCAAAGCAACCCAAGAACAAACTCACTCAATCACTGCTCTAACACCTCTTAGACTAACTACCGCCTCAATATATAAACGAAATTAAACCCTCAATGCCAGCAATGTCACCACCACCACCACCACTACCCAAGGCCCTACCCAGCAATCTATCCAACCGCAACCCCAAAGCAGGCAACAACCCCTCAAAAATGGTAAGACTCGCCCAACCCCGGCAGGTAATCATCCCGCGGCGCCACCACCCGCTGGAGCAGTACGTGTGGCTGAAGGACCACGATGCCGGGCGCAACGACCCCAGCTTCACCCCGGACTGGAACCGGTATCGAGACGAGCTGACGCGGCAGTTCCGGCGCCTGCGCTCGGCCGACCCGCGCCTTAAGCCGCTCATCGGCGAGGTGCACGTCGGGCGGCGCGTCAAGGTCTACAAGGAGCTGCGGCCCTCGGGCCAGGCGCTGTGCGTGCAGTGGTTCCTGATCGGGGCTGCGAGCGAGGAACGGGAGCATGCGCGCACGATGCAGCTGGTCGAGGAGCTGTGGGGCCCCGACGAGGACGTCGACTCCGAGGCCGAGACGGTCGTGGTGCCGCTGGATGTGCAGGGGTTGCGGATTTCGGAGGAGAGATAGATTCTTTTGTTCCTTACCTACCTACCCTGGATGTGAGGCCAGTGGGGCTTGTAGTTGAGTATTTTTTATCGCTGGTTTGGTGTGACGTTGGATGAATATGTTATGTGAATTAGACTGATTTTAGAGTATGTGATTTCTTAGCTGAAAGCTGTGTCTATTCAGATGGGCTTGATATGCGAAGAGACTAAGACAATTCGCTCTGTGGCGGACTCAATAAGTCTCTAACAGCTAAGCATGTTCCTCCTCTTCGACCGTCATCTTCCAAGGATTATCCGTAGAGGAATGGTAATAAGTACTGAGGTACACCCCGGTCTTCTCGGTGTAGGCAAACGAAACCCACGAGGTAAACCGATCCGTTGTAGTGAGATCAATCCCAGGACTTGAAGTCGAACTAACCGTTAGTTAAGACATCCGAGTGAAAGGACCAAAAGCACTTACTAGTATGACTTGACCTTCTCCACATAACCCTTACCATGGCGCTCCAGCCCAATATGACACAAAAAGTCGCCCACCGCGGTGATCACCTTCCAGTCACTCTCCCCATGCACGGGGAAATACAGCTTGGTCAACGGGGTGGGATCGCCCGCGCGCATCTCGTAGTTCCAGAGCAACGGGGTTGCCTTGGCGGTGCTCTGCCGGTCGTCGAAGGCCACCACGATCTCCCTCTCCCCGGCGGCCAGCTGCATCCGGTCCCACAGCTGCCGCAGGTATTCCAGCCCGCGGGCCACCGTCGGAGATTGGACGCGGTTGCCCAGGGTCCAGACTTCGGCCAGCTTCTCCCACGTCACGCTGTTGGAGCCGGTATAGAGCTTCAGGCGGGAGCGGGCCGGGTCGACGAAGTCCCAGGAGAAGAACGACCGGTCATCGTAGCCAACCTCGCGCAAGTAGTCATCCACCGTGGCGAATGCCGGGGAGCAGTCGATGAGAGGGGTCAGGTTGACCATCGTGGTGGCCATCAGCTGGGCCATGGATTGACCGGTGACTTTGCACTTCAGGGCGGGGAAGCTGTAGCCTTTCACCGCGATCTTGCCCTCCCTCGTCAGGTCGAAGCCAAACGCGGTCTGGGATCGGATGTAGCCCGCCTCGAGGTTGATGCCCTGCAGGGCTTCCCGCTCAGCCTGGCTCACCGTGTGGTCCTGGATGACTTGGTGCCAGATCTGTTCGTCATAGCCCGGGATCCGCAGTTGGGCGAGCGAGGACAGGAGCTCTGAAGCGGGGAGGCAGTTGAATGGATCCTGGGGGGTGCCGGAGAGGGCATTGAGCGGCTCAAACCCAATGCGCACCACCAGTGGCTTCTCCTGTTGCTGGTAATTGATGCTCAGCTCGAGAGGAAGACCACTCCGCGTGATGGAACTGCGGAAGAATTGCGGATAAGGGCCCAGAAGAGGGAGCAGAGACTGTGCAAAGAATTCGAGGTACTGGAGCTGCTCGTCACGGGTATAGCTGGCAGACGACAGCACTCTCGCTAGCATCAACCCGGACTTCTCCCACCAGAGCTTTTCGTGTTCGCTCTTGAAGTTGAGCTCCTTGAACAGAGTCTCGAACGGACTCTGCTGGAGGGATTCTTCGAGGACAGTCATCTTGCGTAGTGACAGGGAATGTGATTTGCAACAAGCTGGTGTGTCTGTGGGGGTGTCTGTGTGTGTCTCCTTGTGTGTCTCTGCTGTGAGCTACAACTACTTATCCTTTCACCAGCAGTCATGGTAACAAATAGGCGTGTGTATTGGCGAATTGAAAATTACACACTTGATAAGATTGGGTTGAATCGATCGTTCTCGATCGCTGTCGATCACCCGGGCTATTGCCATCATACCGCGGAGACGGAACTATTTGTGTAGCGTAGACGGCCTCCATCGATGGAGATCACACAAACATCCTGAACAAACAGGTTTGGTGGTGGCAAGAGCCACATGCAGATCCCAGGTTCCCCGCATGATCTGCAGCTAATATCAACAGTTCTCATTAAAGGTATGACAGGGTGCACAGGAAGAACGTGCTGTGACTTCTATATCGGAGAAATCGGAAATGATCATCAGTGGAGGCTGGCTGAGGAGATCGGGGACTTCAGCCCCAGCATCTGAGCTGAAGTCAACAATCACCACCAAACACCGAGTCGATTGAGGAATGTGATTGAATTGTCTGTGATGCAACATCTGCTGCAGCAGCAGGGGGCAGGGGGCAGTAGCACAAGCAACCAAGTTTGTCTATCACATACACAGGTCTGACAAATATTGATGCGAAAGCCTCCTCGTACATCATCGCTAGATTTCAGGGCAGGGGACTTTATGCGCCGTACTCGCAGATCCGCAAAGTCGCCAACACCTCCACCCTCCCTCTCACCTCCGTGTTCATCTCAAAGTTGTCAACTGCGCTGGGTGAGACTCACCACCCGGCCAAAAACCACGAAAACATCACAATGGCCTTGCCAATCTCCCTCACTGCGTTGACACCAACCGGTATCGCGCTCCTCTTTTGCATCACCATCTTGCTCCTCCTATCCTACTACCATCTGACCCCAACCGTCAAGAAGTCCCAACTACCCCTCCCTCCAGGCCCCAAAGGCCTCCCAATCATCGGCAACCTCCATCAAGCGCCCCGCCAGAAGGCATGGGAAGTCTACAAACAATGGTCCGACCGATACGGCCCGATCATGACGGTCAACAACGGGGGCAACATCACCATTATCGTCTCCTCGCACCACATGGTCGAGACCTTTCTGGCCAAACACAACGCCGTCTTCAGCAGCCGCCCGCAGCTACTCGTGCTCGAGCGCGCGCTGCACGGCTTCACCACCCCGGCCCTCCCCTACGGCGAGAAGTGGCTGACGCACCGCGCCCTCCGCGGCGCCGTGCTCAAACCCACCATGGCGGTGAAGTACCGGGGCATCAACGACCTGGAGTCCAAGCAGCTCCTACATGAGCTGCTGACCAAGGGGGACCACTTCACCGAGTGCGTGCGCCGGCAGGCCGCGAGCCTATTCCTGGGCATCGCCTATGGGCACCGCTTCCCCGAGGAGACAGCCGAGATTCTAGATATTGACCGCGCGGTGGCGCAGCTGGGCGGGATCTCCGAGTCCATGTTCGCGGGCACCGCCATGCTGCGCGAGTTCTTCCCTATCTTGAAATACCTACCGGGGAATGACAAATTCCTCAAGCAGCTGGACGACGTCGGGGAGCGTCTGGCGAACATCTATGTGAAGCGGTTCCGCGATGGACTTAGAACGCCGACATGGAACTGGGCGAAGGAGTATGTATCCCGGCCCGAGGCGAAGGGGATGAGCGAGCTGGAGCTTTCGTTCTGCATCGGCTCGACTTACCAGGCCTCGCTGACCCCATACGAGATCCTGCGCATCATCGTGTTGGCGGCCATCTTTCATCCCGAGGAGATGTGCCGCCTGCAGCGGGAGATTGATGCGGTGGTCGATCCCGACCGGCTGCCGGACTGGGAGCATAGAGACCGCATTCCCTGGGTAATGGCGTTCGTCTATGAGGCGCTGCGGTGGCACGCCTTCTCGCCGCTGGGGGCGCCGCGCGCCATTAGCAGCGATATCGAGTACAACGGCTACTTGCTGCCGAAGGGGGCGACACTGGTGCTGAACCAGTGGGCCATGGACCACGATGAGAATGTCTATGACGATCCTTTCACGTTCCGTCCGCAGCGCTGGATAGACAACCCCAATCTGCCCCATGTCATTTTCGGCTTTGGGCTGCGCGGATGTCCCGGCCAACATCTGGCCCGCGAGCACTTGTTCATCAACACTGCGCGCCTCTTCTAGGTCTACGACTTTGGCCATGCGTATGAGAATGGCGAGAAGGTGGAGCTGGATCTGGATGAGCTGATGCAGCCCCGTGGCGGGGGATCGGCCTTCAATCAGGTGCCTTCTTTCCCGGCGTCGGTGGTAATCCGAAATGAGACGCGTAAGAAAATGGTCGAGAAGGCGTGGGACGCGGTGGAGAAGGATGAGCAGAAGATTCTAGCCGAGGCAATGCCGCTGAAGGCATGATGACCATCTTAGTTCAGTACTCCATAGGTAATACATACCATGCATTCTCTGGCTACGATGTTTTCAGCTGCCCACCGCCCGCCACGCCCAGGTTGATAGTTCCGCTCGTTAAGTCCCACATAGCCCAAACCTGTCACATATCCACGTCCTCGATGCATGTCTAGGTGATACATCCGTGCCACATTGTAGCTCCCGGCATGTCCGGCCGGATGTGACGAAAGGTGAGGCGTCTGGGACAGACAGTCATGACGCACAGTAGGCAGCAACATGCAGTGCGACTATTGGATTATTGACTGCATTCACGGTCATGCGGTCAATATCACACGTTTGCCTCGCACAGAGAGGAGACATGTCCCCACCGATTGGCAAAAGATGATGACATCGGGATGTCTGCTACCTTGGCTTCGATGCAGTGGGCAACACGCAACGTCCTAGAGGGGCTTTGATGAGACGATCCCATCACTGATTGTCGAAAGATGCCCCTCATACAGTTGCTGGCTTTGCCCAAGGTAGGTGATGAAGACACCTCGCCATTGCGTGGCGATCACGGTCACTCTCCCAACACCGTCAGACATCGGTACAAAAAGGCACAACACATCCTCACTCACCATCCTCAACCCACATCATCGCTCCAAAGCCATCCCAGAAACCAAATACAATCGCCTCATCTCAATCCCGAGCAATCCTCCACAAAAACCATGACAACCACCGAAACCCCCACCAAACCCCCAATCCGGCGCTTCCCCGCAACCACCCCGCCCTAAACCCTCTGGCACGTCGTCTGCGACGACGGGGCCGCCATAATCGAGAACTTCCTCCCGGCACCCACCATCGCGAAATTCGACCAAGAACTCTCGCACCGCTCCGCCACGACCACGGGGGGCCAAATGAACCAAGAACAGATGCCGGTACCCACCACGACCAAATGGATCAACGACCTGACAGCCACGTGCCCAACCTTCCGGCACGAGATCCTCAACAACCCCGTCCTACACGGCCTGTGCGAGGAGGTCTTCGCCCCGCACGGGGACTACTGGCTCCTGAACGGGATGGCCATGGAGATGATGCCGGGCAATCCCACCCAAGAACTGCACAACGACCACGGCACGCACCCGATCCTGCAGTATCTACGGGATGACGCCCCGTCGCCGGTGTTCAGTATCATCACGGCGGTGAATGAGTTCACGGAGGCGAATGGCGCGACGCGGGTGATCTTGGGCAGTCATCGGTGGCCGAAGGGCCAGCGTGGGAAGGATGAGCAGACGGTGCGGGCGGTGCTTCGGCCGGGGGACGCGTTGGTGCTGTATCGGACGACGAAGCATGGGGGTGCGGCGCACGGTGTGGAGAACCCCGATCATCGACGCTTGTTGTTGCTGTCCGTGGGCAGCTGTCAGCTAGCGCCGTATGAGACGCATGTCACGGTGCCGCGGCCGGTGGTGGAGAGTATGACTCCCCTGGCGCAGAAGATGATCGGGTGGCGCAGTATGAAGCCGGTGATTTCGAATGTAATGGGGTTGATTACGGTGCGCATGAAGCATCTGGAGACGCAGATTGGGTTGAGGTCGGAGGTGCCGTTGGAGGGGGGGTGTTGAGGTTGCCGGGGTGGTTTCGGGGTTGATGGTTCGGGACGGGGCTCGTTGGGCTGAGGATCTGGAGGTCTGTGTGGTTCCTACCTAGTGGAAGACTGTAATTCCTCACTCCTGATCTTCCAGTGTTGTAATGGCAATTTCGTTTATATGGAGACTAATCCATTTTAGTCAAGGCAGGAAGGAAATGAATATCACGCTGAGAGAACCCCTGGTCAGCGCAATAGACAAGCGAATAGTTGGATCCAGACAACCTAGACGGTGTTGAACATGACCACGTCGCACTTCTCTGCTCCGTCCGTCAACTCTACAACCTCTACATCCGTTTCTCCTGCCATGTCCCGCAAGCCCTCCTGCTCTGCCCAGAACACATCTGCTGCTCTCTCCCGCAAGTTCTCCAGGTACGCCGCGCAGTCGTCCGCTGTCTCAGCCCTCTGTTTCCCCTCCTTATCATGCATCAAGCTGGCTCCAGCCCTCGGAACGTGGGGATGAATCTGGCAGGGCCCAGACAGGCACTCCTCGAAGTGGATCGTGCTAACCTCGTAGGCGTAAATGAGGTCGACGGGAGCTTGCCACTCCTCATTCCGACCAACGATCGCCTCAGCCTCAGAGCCCGAGTTTGCTTCCGTGCCAAGAAGGCGTGCTGTTATAGTCGCCTTCGTCTCCCGGCGCTCGAGAGAAGGCTTTCTCATCTTGAATCCGAAGGCAATCTTGATGCCCGTGATCATGAACACCGACGTCCGGCCAAACCCGCTTCGCATCACACTCTGTACTTCCGGGTGTAAGCTGCGCTCCGTGGCCTCCTCATTAGTAGGGTAATGCTGTAATTGGATGCTGTCCAGCCGGTCGTAGGAGTAATTCGCAGGGTCAAGCAGAGTGCTTCCACCACCGACAGCGGTATCGGCGAAGCGCAGGAATCTCGTCCAAATTTGCCCATGGAGTGTGGTAAGGTCGTGGTCACTCTTCAACATGCCCTCGACGTCCGTGCGTAATACGAGGATGGGAGGCTCTGTGGGGCTGCTGAGGATCTTAGTTGGTTCTCGCCAGTCAGCGACGATATTTCCCGGGTTCGTTGCATATGACCAGTGGTAGTCAAAGCCAGGCACTAGAATATAGGATTCATTCATGGTTCCCATCACTGTGTACGGTCAGTCTGGTTGTTCATCAGCTACTCCGTCGGCGTCGGGGTCTTACTGTTTGAACGACGGGTTTTTCTCGGTCGTGCGAGTTGGCTTGACAATGTGGAGATGAGAGATGTTAGTGAGCAAGAAGGAAGTATTAATGAACCTGGAGATCTGGTAGAAAACAGATCAGCAATGATAAATTTCACCTGGCAGCAAAAGCAGACCCCTCCCATATCCCACTGTCAGTTTCAGTCTAGTTGCTGGAGCATGGAAGTTCAGGCGACGGAAGATCAAATGGGCTAGGTCGTAATCCAGTTTTGGTGTCTGCAAACGCCACTGCTCAGTGGCCTCGCATGTTCTTGTCAGCCTGAAACACTGAGAGGAGAAGCCATGACTAGCAATCAGAAGCTTCATCAGGCTGTTTGCAAGTGATCACTTCGGCCTTGTAAATGTCACATATCTCAACCATGTCCACAGGAGTGATAGGCCACTGGCTGAGACACACAGCATCCAGTCAAACAAAGCTGATTTATGATGCAATTCCCGCATGAAGCTTTCCACGGCTCACCATCTGCCTCCAACACATCAATGGATTGATTGTTGCTGATGGCTAGACCGTTTGTTGTGGGGCAAACAGATGGACAGCCGCTGGTGGGACTCAAATGCACTATCAACATCGAACAAGATCGGTTTATACGTCGTGTATGGAACCCCCGAAGGTACCTCTGCGGTGAGATCTCCAGAATGCCAGTTTCAGAGCCAGGAGCTGTGTCTTGCCCAGTGCAATAGGTGCCCAGTGGGAGATGTCGCTCACCGAATCTGGCAGAAGCGGCAGGCGCCGGCAAAACTACGGCGCGGAGCCTGACGCCTGCCTCTATTTTTGGGTGTGTTTACTGTGTGTTTTGCCCCACCAGGCGCGGTCCCTTGTAAAAGCGGCGGGAACCCCGCATGAGAGGTCGATCGCCTCACATTCTCTCGCTCATTGCCATCCTAAACATTTTCTACTAGGTAGAGGGTTAGAGGACCCCTCATTGCCTCCAGCGCAATGGACCGTCTACCAGCCGAGCTCATTCTCTCCATTGGCCAGCTCATCGAAAAGCATACACTATGTTCCCTGATCCGATGCTGTCGGCGCTTATACGACGTCCTTCAACCGCTACTCTACACGAAAATCCGCCTGGTCTCGCCTTTGTCGGACAGCTATATCTCTCTGGTCATGCGCATGTGGCGATATCCTGAGATAGCCCGTCATGTTCGCCATGCAGAGATGCATCTCCCGATCATCCGTCACCACCGTCCTCAGCCTTTACCTCAGCTAGACGAGACAAAGGTACCCGGACTCCAGGCTTTCATTCAGGATGTCCAGAGTGAGATGTTCGATCTCAAAGACAAGCGCAGACGTGATTGGTGGGGTAAAGGGTTGAGAGGCAGCGAATGGTGCTTCTGGCTGGGTGTGCTGCTCGTCCGGTTGACGCGTCTCGAGAGTATAGAGTTTATTGGTCTCTACAACAACAGCGCGATATGCGATCTTCTATACAGAGCCGCAAAACAGCAGCGGCCGTTCCATGAGGAGCCTCCTTACCCTCTGCTGCGGCAAATTGCCGTGCGAGACTGCGAGCAGGGGTTTGAGCTCGAAGAAGTCCTGACCCCCTTCTTCTACTTGCCCGCCGTGGAATCCGTGGATATCAGCCAGCTGTGGGATGGGCGAGGACGGGATGATCCTCTGGAATGGCGGCGGGAGGCCAGCTGCGCCCGTTGCCCGGTTAAGGAGATCGTCATTCGATCCTTGAAGCACTCGCGTGGCACGCTCACCTGGCTCGCAGACTGCACAGACCTGGAGCGTATCTCGGTGCGAATCCCCTGCATCTTCGTCGGTTACCCCGAGATCCGGTTCGGGGTGCCGTTCAACCCAGCGCGCTTTATCCGGAACCTTCTTCCGTTCAGGAGAACCTTGAGGAGTCTGCACATCGAGTACGACCAAGTATACCACGCCTTGCTGAACGCCCCCGGGCCGTTAGAACTGTACTATGAGGACATCTATTGGCTCACCGAGGACGAGCGGAACCTAGATCATTGCAATGCGCCCGTGGACTCGCTGCGCGACTTCGAAGTCCTCGAAGAGGTGTCGCTGCGACACGCCAACCTCTTACCGGCGGTGGATGGAGCTTCTGCTCGAGGCATTCTCGCGGACCGGCTCCCGAAACCCCTCCGGCGTCTTTGCATCCTCAACATCGTGGAAAGCCGCTATACAGATCTACTTACGGAGCTCACGATCCTTGTCACCACAGCCCGCGATACCTTCCCCAACCTAAACCAAATCCAGCTCCCGAGAAACACCGTGGACGAGATGTCATTACCCGCTTTCCAACATGACTGCACAAACGCGGGAGTATCATTCGAATACTTCTAGATCCATCCAAATGCCAGCCAACCCATGGCGTCACAAACACCCAACCGCCCATTTCCACCCCTCCGCTACCCACAACCCCCTACCCTCTTACAAGTTACAAACAAGTCAACAAATCCCCCAACTTCTCCAACACCACACCCTGCACCGTGGCATTCGCATCGAGCTTATCGCTCGCCAACCCCACCGAAACACTAACATAGCACCCATCCGAGTCCACCACAGAAGTCTCCGTCGGCAACCGCGTCGACCCGCACGTCTCAACATCATCGGCCGTAATCAACGGCAACGCCGTATGGATCCGCGACAACACAAAGCTAAACTCGTCCGCCGACGCGCAGCTACCCCCGTCCGTCACCGCCCCGAAGTTCACATTCAACCACACATTGTCCGGGAGGTACGGCGCACCGCCCGCGATCAGCTGATCCGTCAACTTGGTCGCCAGCGCCGCGTACACCTGGCTGTACAGGGGCACGGCCGAGACGTTCCACGCCGTCTGCGCGCCCGTGGCGCCCGAGAACGCGACCGCGGGGATCCCCGCCGTGTTGGCCGCGTAGGTGGCCGCGCCGACAGTCCCAGAGAAAAACACCTCCCACCCGAGGTTGGAGCCCACGTTGGGCCCCGTCACGGCGAGGTCCGGGGCGGCGCCGGAGAAGAAGGTCGAGGCCAGCGTGTTGATCCCGTATTTGATCGACGTGACCGGGTAGGAGTTGACGTAGTTGAAGCGCGGTTGTGTCGCGTTCGAGCCGTAGGCCGGGCTGCCGGCCGGGCAGCTGTCGAATTCGCAGGCGGAGGTTAGGACAGTCGGGGTGCCGTCATCGGAGCCTTTTATTTTATGTCCTTGAGTTAGCTCTGTAGGAACAGCTCGAGGGGTTTGAAGTATGCGGGTATTTCTGCTGCTGCTGTGGGCTTGTTGGCGGGGGGGGGTGGGGGGGGGGATGCTATACGTACCAGTGCCGCTCTCGTTCTCAGCCGGGGCGGAGATCACCACCGAATGGCCTGCCTCGGTGAGGGAGTCGTAGAGCTGCCGGATGTTGATCTCCGCCCAACCATCATCATTCGACGAGATAATGTTGATGGCGTGGGCGGAGAGAGGCAGGAGCGTGAGGGCAGCGACGGGGAAATGCATGATCGCGGACTGTGGGCTACACAGAAAAAACTGTCTACAATAGGGCACGAGGGCCGGGTCTATATAGCTGGGGTGCTATCGCTACATTATGCCAGGAACTTCCATGGAAGAATAGCCGAGCTCTCCACTCGAAAGCCAAGTTTGGGCAGCTCAACGGTCAATCTTTCCCCTCTGCATCCGAGGCCAGGAACAGCAGGTCGACATGTCGATCGCCGAGGATGCTGCCTGTCACCAACCAGTGCAGCCACGTGCAGGGCGATTCCTCGGCTATAATGTTTACCTAGAGGAGAAACTACGCATAATCAAGCTACGGAACGGAGATAAAATGACCAAGCTGTCTACTCCGTACTCAGTACAATATGGAAGGGCGGCAAGTGGGTCCTGCCGCACCACCCACCGATCCATCAATGCTTCATTGTTTGCGCACATGGGCTTTCCTGGCCGGTTCACAATTCCTGCATGCACGGGACAGCGGACCTGCAGGACTGACTATTCACGGAACCCCAACGGTCCGTTCCCAAATCCTCTCGGCCAGAATCTGCACCAGCTGCAGCTTTTCCCACATCTTCTCTTCCGTCATCCCAATGCCCCGACCGCGGCCGACGCTCGAGAACCCGCACTGCGGACTCACCCCTAATGTGGTGTCGAGGACCTCTCGTCGACTACGGCCCTGGCCCTGAGCAATCACGTCCGCTGCCGCATACACGCGGGCCTCGAGCTCGTCAAGAGACTCCATCTCCGGACTCTTGGTCGAGACAACGCCCAGCACCACGTTCTTGCCCACGGGCAGGTACCGCAGCGGCTGGAAGTCTCCCGCTCGCTCCGTGTCGTACTCGAGATAAAAGGTGTCGAAGTCCAGTCCCGTGAACAGGCGCCGCGCAATCCGCTCGTACGACCCGCTGATGATGTGGGTTGAGCCGGGCATATTGCCCCGACAGAGATGGATGCCCACGTGCAGGTCCGCTGGTCGACCCACCAGACACTGGTTGTGTGCCCAGATGTATAAGTCGAGCAGCTCGTCCGGGTCGATGCCGTCTGCGTGGCAGCCCGAGCGGAACTCGTCCGTCACGAAATACAGCAGCTGGGGGTCGTCCACCTGGATCGACCGCAGGCCTGCATCATACAACGTCTGCAGCTCCTGGACGTACGCTTGGGCCAGATCGGCAAAGTACTCTTTGTCAGTCGTGTAGGGGCTACGGTCGGTGAAGGCAGTGCCGGCGCGCAGTTGCAAGTGCTGCCAAGTGATGGGAGGGATGGTAATCTTGCACTCTTTCCATTCTGCCGGGGGCACAAGGCTCCGCAGGTACTCCCAGTCCGCGAGGTACGGACTCTCCACGTAGCGGATTTTGTCGACTGCGATTACTGCTTCCCGGGCTGTCATCCCGTTGCGGATCATGATGTTCACCACGGGAAGTCCATTTCGTAGTCCCGCGGGGACAGGCACGTCCGGGACAATCTTGAAGCCGTGGAGGCGTTCGAAGAATCCAGAATAGTAGATGGTTCGCTCGTATTCTCCGGACATGATGGGTCGCACCTTCCGCTGCAGTTGCTGCCCGACCGCTCGGGCGATCGCATCCTCTGTAGTTTTTCTGAGGGCGTCAGGGACCGGTTCTGTGGTGTACGACACGAGCTGTCCGGCGGCAGCGCGTGCAGCAACGAGTCCATCAGGCCGGAGCAGAGAACCTATCTGCTCTGCGCGAAACTGAGGAGCCATGATGCGGATGGGTGTTTCTGTGTTCCTTGGCTCGCTTTTGGACCGTGGTCCACGGATAGAAAGTATCAAGAATCCTCAATTCCCTTCCAAATCGCCGGGAAAAGGCTGGCATTTTGAGGGGGAGAGATCCGGGGTCAGACGTGCGGAGAAGGTGGAGCGCGAATGCGGAGTTGGCTGCGGAAAATGTCATATCCAGCACAGACCGTCAGCCTGCTCCGTCAGTTTTTCCCATAGCCAACCATCGTCGTACTAAGCTATATGTTGGCAGCAGTGTCAGCGGGGTTTCTCACCATAAGCCAGGAAGACTGGTCAAGGTGACCAATGGCATGGATTGGTACACCCACCAGAGCTCTAAAAGAAGTTTCAGTTTGCGGTAAGTATGGCCGTTTCTCCAACTCGTCAAGCCTGGTTGGTTGGTTCGTAGAGACTCCGATCACAAGTTGTTTGCTCTTGCACTATGAGTTTTCAGTGACATTGAACTCGGTTGCTGTGGTCGTCATCCCTGACAGCTTAACAGGCAAGTCGGCGGGCACCTGCATGTCCATTTGCGGCAGCTCGCACCGAATGAATAACATTGTGAGGACACTTCATTTGCGAACAGTGCCTAGCAGCAGATATTCTCCCTGTAGTAAGTTGCACAAGCTTGTAACATGATGAAAGTGAGGGTTGTCCCAGGCCTCTCCTGGTGTCATGGACTTGAGGGTAACAGAATCTTCATGCTTCCGAGCCTGCAGTATGTGTTGAGTGTCTCCGCTGTTGGTCTTCTGAATATCTTTACATGAGACTATTTAGAATAAAGTCAGGTGCCGTAGAGTAGTTGCACAAGCGATGCCTCCATCACGATGGAGTGAATTGGAGAATTGGAGTCTTAACCTGAAGCCATGCTTACTCGCCCAAACTGGTTAGCCGCCATTATCTTCCTGCGTCATCACGTGGCTCTGATGCTACGCCCAATGCAGACAGTCTGCTTACCAAGCCGCGTCACAAATCCCCGTTTCATACAGAATACCGATTGGCAGTCCATAATCTCATGAGTGGATGTTCTTGCTATCTCCCACCAATTGCACTCACTTCGATCACTGCTTTTTTCGGTCTCCATGACGCACTCCTTGAAGTAGTCCCTGAATTATCATCCAATCGATGCATGGCCACTAGCGATTAACTCAGGCGGGCGTTCGCCTTGGCTTCGATTCCTCTCCCCTGCAATCCCCCTCCCCCCAGGGCAGTGAGGGAGCACATTTTTCTCCAACTTCACCTTCTTTCGTTAACCCCTCTAATCGTGCAGGCAGGCAGCGCCTCCTCCAATTTACACAATAATCATACAGTCCCTCGTTCACCTCCTCTGCATGCCTTGAACACTCACGTATGCCCCAATTTATCCCTGGGAACACCAGCAACAACAACACCACCGGCCTCGAGCGGCGCCTGGGGGACCCGAACGTCGAGGAGTATGTGTTCCCGATCCTCATCGCTCTGGCGTGGTGCAACGCCCTGGAGCTGCTCGTGCTGTGCTTCAACACCTTCAAGCGGTACGCGGGCTCCTACTTCTGGAGCCTCCTGGTCGCCTCCGTGAGCATCCTCCCCTTCGGGCTGGGCTACCTGCTCAAGATGTTCGACATCACCGCCACGCACTTCTACCTGGAGATCGCCATCTCCGACCTCGGCTGGGCCGGCATGGTCACCGGCCAGTCGCTGGTGCTGTGGTCGCGGCTGCACCTGGTCGTGCACAACCGGCGCCTGCTGCGCGCGCTGTTCTACCTCATCATCATCGACGGCGTGCTGCTGCACGGCTGCGCCACCGCCCTGGAGTTCGCGACCAACGCCCGCCCCGACTCGCCGGCCGTCTCGCTCGGGTTCGGCGTCATCGAACGCATCCAGGTCACCTGGTTCTGCGTCCAGGAGCTGCTCCTCTCCGGCGTGTACATCGTCGCGACCGCCCGCCTGCTCCGCCTGGACAGCGGCAGCCCCTCGTCGCGCGCCCTCCTCTCCCAGCTGCTGCTCGTCAACGTCGTCATCGTCTTCCTGGACCTCGCCGTCGTCGCCATCCAGTGGGCCGGCTTCTTCACCTTCCAGGTCACCTTCAAGGCCCTCGCCTACAGCATCAAGCTGAAGCTCGAGTATATCATTCTGGGGAGGCTCGTCGACGTCGCCCACATCCGGACGCAGGGCGCCGGGCCCCGGTTTCGCATATAACCTAGAGATAGACACAAAAAGTCCGGCTGGACGCAACGTATTTTGGATAGTCGTTGTTCTATGTATATAATTTTTACCCCTTTTTCAGCCGTGTACATCCAATAGAGAGCCTGGTCTTCGATGATTAGATTCCTCGAATTGAAGAGGGGTGCGATGACGATGACGCGCTCCATTTTCAACTCACCACACCCGGTACGAATTCGTAACTATCCACCTCCGACCCACATAACCAACCGCACATGGGGGAACTGGAACCCGCGGGGTAGAATCTCCCTATTTCACCCCGTATGTTGAAGCACAGCGTCATCCCGACCCTTCCGCTCCAACCTTCAAACCCTTGTGGAAAGTAGGTATCCCTGCCCGCAGTGAGTCGCTAGCGATTTATTGCTGCCTGTGTCACTCCTCCCCTACCAGCCCAGTCAAATTACCCTAAAATTACTTCGAATCAAGGAGTGAGTACTATACCACGACAGGTAACCTATGAGTCGAAGGACATTCATTCCAAGATATTATTGACATTCGATCTGATATAGACATTCAATCCGATATAGACATTTGCTCTGATATAGACATTCAATCCGATATAGATAGTCATTTCGATACAGACATTCAACCCAGATATAGACATTATGTGCAAGAGGGTCTAGGTCACTATTTACAAACGATCAACAGAAAATCAAGTCTTCTTCTCTGTCTGCTCGGCCTCGATCTCCATCCGCTGCGCCTGGACCATGGTCGCGATCGCGTCCTCGGTCTTGAGGTAGGTGTGCCGGCCCTGGAGGAACCAGAACCCGACCGCCACCACGAGCATGACCCCGAACACCGCGATCGCCCAGTTCATGTCGCTGGCCGACGGGTTGGGGGCGCCCGGGAATAGGAAGAAGATCGTGGTCACGATGCAGTAGATGACGCTGATGTAGTTGATGGGGGCGCCCCAGCGGCCGAGGTGGAACTCGCCGGGCGGGAGCTTGTCGCGGCCGACGATCAGCAGCGCGGCGATCGGAAGGCCGTACGAAATGGTCAGCGCGATCGTGCTGACGCTCAGGATGGCTTGGAGGACGGTGTCGGCGAACAGGTACAGGACCCCAACCAGCGCAATCAAAAAGCCCTGGAACCACAGCGCCCGCGCGGGAACCTTCCACACCGGGTCAACGTGCATCAAATACCCGCTCCAGGGGAGGCCACCGTCCCGGGCAAAGCCCCAGGTTAGCCGAGAGGCGGTAGTGAGGATGCTGATGCCCTGTCCGAGGCCGTTGAAGATGAACAAGGCCAAGAGGGTGGCGCCGCCTTCCAAGCCCACGGTTTCCAGCATCAATTCCATGAAGGGCAGGCCGGTCGCTGAGTTGATAACATTGTCGACGTCCTGGATCGAGAACAGACAGACCACCATGAAAATGAAACCGGTGATCGCGCCCATCAGAACCGAAAGCCAGATCACGCGCGGAGCGTTGCGGCGCGGCGCAGGAATCTCCTCCACCATGTGAATCACCGCATCAAAAGCTGTCAGTCCGTATGCCGCCTGCACCAGGCCAATGAACCACACCACCCCGTCGTCCCATCCAGTCTCATTCATCCAGTTCCCAAAGACAAACGAGGCCGGCTGAAAGGTAAGATCTTTCTTAACGCCCACGGAGATGAGCAGGGCGAGGGAGAGGATCACAAACAGCGCGGTGAACCAGACTCCAACAAAGTTATTCAGCCAGGGCAGGAACTTCTCCTTCCGGCAGCCCAGGATGTTGATCACCGTCAGCACCAGGACGCATCCGATGTAGACGACGAATTCCAGCCAACCCGTACCAGCGCCGCTCCACGAGTTGTCGAACAGGACCTTCATCCCCAGCAGGAACTCGGTCATGAAGGCCACCTGCGAGGCGGTCAGGGTCCACCAGCCGAAGGTGTTGATCCACGCACACATGTACGAGGCAAAGCGACCCAATGGGGTCTCCCAGAGTCGAAAGACCCAGTAGGCCTGGCCCAGGGCCGTGGGCATACTACTGGTCAGCTCCCCGAGGGAGACGGCGACGCACAAATTACATGCGGTGACCAGAACAAGACCCCACAGGATGGAGATGGGACCCCCATTGGTAAGCCCACTGTCGAGATCCTGGGCAAAGGTGGAATAGGTGCCTGATTGGTGCCTCAGAATTAGTTCTCTCTCTCGGCTAAGTTTCAAGTGGGTCGGAAGCGGAAAAACAAGGACCGGACGGCCACATTGTCCAAGTGACAAGTGACGCAAGAAAGCAGAGCACACACACACCTAGAACGCAGAAGGCTAGCGACAGCATGCTCCAGATATCGAATTTGCGCGACAGGGCCTGGTCATGGCCCATCGCGGCGAGGTCGCTGGCATCTTGGGCATGTTGATCGTCCGAGTGGAACGGTTTGAGGGTTTCGGGGTTTTCCACGTCCATACGGGAGGGAGATTCGCAGGAAAATGGGTATTGTTGGATTCAATGGATGGGTTGGTTGGATGGACAGTGCTGTCAACCGACAGATAGGGCAATGGATTCGAGGGAGAGGCAGTTCATCCAACTGTCCATTTTCTGCTGACTGGATAGAGACAGTCTCTGTGAGCAATCTTCTGAGGGGTGCTTGATATATGAACCAAGCAAAGGAAAGGTGCAGCAGTAGAGTGTGGCAGGCAGGCAGGGCAGTCCTCGGGTTATTTCCCCTCACGGCGCAAGCATTCTGGGGCCAGGCAGCACAACAAGATGGGCAATGGAAGAGGAGTTATCGAGTCTGGGAGGGGAAGATAATCAATGAATTGAGTAATTGGTCATAACTCAAATCTTCGTGAGTGGACAAAAAAGATAAGTCGGTGATAAGCGAAATTTTTTTTTAAGGATTTGCGGGGGGGGAGAAAAGAGAGGCTTGGCCTGGGAAGGAAGTGCTTAAGGCTCGGCAGGACTTCCCAAGTGGGGTTGGTAGCTTTTTTGACCCCATCCTCCCTTGCGTTGTCTTGCGGAACTATCATACATTTCAATGCTTGAATCAAATACTTCCTATTCAGATCGATATCAAAAGTGTATGAATTACAGATTGTTTGTATAGATGGAGATTGCATCACACTGCTGGATCTCGTCTACACCCTCGATTAACCTGCCCGATGGTTACTCAAATGACATCACCCCCTCCGGCAGTCTTCTTCCGAAGTAAACAAATACGTCAATTCCCTTGGGGAACTCTGGATAGTGACAGATTTGCCCCTATCTATCGACCTCGACTGTCATAATCGACGGTTGCAGCAGAGCCGGCCCGTGAGCCTCCCCCTCGAACCAAAGATAGCAGCTGCCTGTGACACTCCTCAGCATCATCCTTAATCCCAATCCGGCAAGTGCACGCGGTGGCGATAAGTCTGTCCGGGGAACCGATTGTCGATCGGATCCATGGCTTGTTATCTCCTCCGTGAACGTGAACCAGCATCCTCCGACTATACTTATGTGGTCATAGCTGAGCACATTGTGATGAGAGCGATACGAGGAGCACAATTGATCATTTGACATATGATTCATCTCCCGCATACCTTGTTAGCATCCACCTGGACGAGGCATCCAGAAATCTTCAACAACCTCCCGCTTTGACTCTGCGAGACTAGTCTCAAACTCTATACTACCGACTTCCCGGCTTCAGGAAGTGTCGAAATGCGGGGTTGGGCTACAGGACGATCGGAGCGGCCCAGGGACACTGGCGGCTTGTCAGCTGGGATCAGAGATCCGACACCGGAATGGCGGTTTTAGGTTGCAGCACAAACGAGCTGGATGATAGGTCCAAAACACCGAGGACAGCGGGATCGTTCACGCTTGGCGATAACTGAAGTACCTTGCCTGCCCTTGAGCGTTTCGGAGCAGCATGTACTACTCATCGGTAGGGTAGCAGTGGACCTGGCAAATGCCCCTGGCTGTCCCTGCACCCGTCAATACGACAATAATGTTGCCTCTACACTACGACATCTCTAAACTACGAAGCCATCGCTTGTCTCACTCACTGGTTTCTTGACTATTCAAACTAAAGGGCAGACCCAAACCCATCTCCGCTGCGATCCAGCTATTCTTAGTGAGGTATGTTCACACAATTGGACACTTGAAGATCAGAAGAACCTGAGCAGATGGATTCGTACCACTAAATGCTGTATATTTAACGCTAACTATCTTGTCTAGGTGATCTCTCAGGTCCAGAGTATGCCACTGCGAAGGACCGGTCATGGGACGATGACCAGAAGGAGTGACGGCGGAAGCCTCACCCTCTATTCAAACACCACCAGTGCACCTACCGTCAATCTACGGTGTGAGTCAGGTCTTGGGCTCCGATCACAATGGCTGAATCTTTCGAGAAAGTCGGGCTACTCTTCGCCCAATTTCTCCCCAAGACACCACATCCCACTTTCCCAAGCCACATGCTCCGTCACCCAGGGCCATCTCATGGGGTCAAGTCAAGCCATGGCACAGGCCACACCCAAAGTGACGATGATCGAGCACTCGAGAAAAGGCGGGGAGATTGATCGGAAACTCAAATGTTGAAGCCAACCACCATGTGTACACACTGATCAGCAGTGCCAAGAATGGGAATACGAGATGGCTCATGGTCACCGTATGACATGGAGGCCAGCGGCTCATTGTAGTGCTATATAGACATCACTTAAACAACCTGAATTCATGGCATGCGAGTGTCCTAAGCTTCAATCAAGGGAATCCTCGAGTTCACTTGGCACTGTTACCGCTATGTTCACCAGCAACGGTCTTGTTGCTCTCGCAACACTCGGATTTCTCCATCAATGCATGGCCACCGCCAACCTCTCGCCCGCTGTCCTGAAACGAAATACCTCGCCGCCTGAGGCGAGCAGCCTTGCGAAGAGGGAAGTCTGTTCGGACGGCACCCAGTGCATTGTCGGCAGCTGCTGTGGTGAAGGGTGCTCATGGAACTGTTGTGGTCTGGACCAAGGTGGATGTAAGATCCCATCCCTCAATGCGTAGTCTTCTTATAAACGACTGACTGACAAAACAGTCGGATGCGATCTGGGCGCGCGGTGCCAATTTGACGGCAATGTGTTTATCGGATGCTGTGACAACTTCATTGGGTATGCCTCGTTCACCACCCATCTCCGCCAACAAGCATCGAGCTAACCTGGTATCCGCAGAGGCTGTACCGGTGAAGCCACCCGCATCACCGTCCACACCCCCTACAGCACCGTCACCTTGAGCGACTCGACACCTAGTATATCAGCCGCGAAGACGTCTATATTCACTTCGTCCACCACCACCGCATCAAGCGTGACCCGCACCACACTGGCACAAACCAAATCGTCCTCGGAATCAACCACCGCCTTCCCATTTTCCCTTTCATCCTCATCCAGCACACCATCGCAGACTGACTCAACGTCCGCAGCGACAGGAACAATCACCAATTCAGCCTCGATCACGTCCACCGACTCTAGCGCTTCATCCTCCCTCTTCCCCTCTTCCTCCGTCTCCACCACCACCACCTTCTCCTCGTCCAAAGCCCTATCCACCGCACCCGCACAAACCCAATCCCCCAACAGTGCCGACATCCCTCAATCCCAAGCTAGAGACATAGCCACCCTCGTCGGACTCGCAGCTCTCGCATCCTGGTATCTCTTCTAGACGTCTATCCACCACCAAGTCACCACCCTTCGCCAGACGTCCTCCTGCTCTTCGCTATCAGCCATTCCTCGATCATGAACATAGCATAATCCTCTAGATTGAACTTACCTAATGTAACAAACAGCCCTTACCATCTAAATCCACATCTCCCCAAACAACCACCCCCCAAACACCCACTCTCCAAACCCCGCCCCCATACAACAAGCACCCAGCCCCTTCCAACCCCCGCCCATACCCTAGCGAAAACAAGCACCAAACCTCACCCCAACCGTAACTCCACTCCACCCCACCCCACCCCTCGAGCCACACTACCCAGCATCCCTGCAGTATTGTTGCAAATCACGCAAGCCGATCGCCCCACCCCTCTATCTTTAGTATAACCCCGACCACGATCGGCCCATATTACCGATACATACTATCGATAGACTTGCCAACGCCAGCGCCACGACCAACACCCTAGTCCCGTAGGTAAGACACGGCGGAGCACAAAGACCATACCATCAGGGGGTGTGGCCCGTGTAGCCCGTGTAGCCCGTGTAGCCCGTGTAGCCCGTGTAGCCCGTGTAGCCCGTGTAGCCATGTGGGTACGGTACTGGACGGAGCTCTCCGAACGGGAATTTAGCCTAGGGGACGATCGTATGATCGACCACTAAACCCCCACCACTCTCCGGAATAGTTCTCCGGGTGGATGCGGAAGGGTTGGGTGGAGCTTGTGCGAGGGATGGGTGAAGGGGTGACTGGGGAGGGGGGAGCGATGATCTAGCTTATTGGGTTGGTGGGTTTGCTGGAGGGATCTAGCTATTCAGATTTAGGGCCTTGGTTGTTTTGGGTCCTCTGCTGGTGAGGGAAGAGGGGGTGCATGTGATGGTGGTGGCGTGCTCTGTACCTAGTTTTTGAGGATGGTGGGGGCTTTCTGGGTTCATGTGCGTGCTGTTGTGGTATATGCTTGATGCATGATGCGGGCTGTTCAGGTGAGTAGATGGGGTGGTTCAGTTCGGGGGG